GCATAGTTTCTTTTGTCGCAACGAAATTCATTCTTTGTAATGAAAAAAAAAACATGTTTCATACGTTTCACGTCACCCAGTCCTGTTTTTTCTAGAAAACGATGGTAATGATTTCTTTACAGATTTTAGCAGAATTCAGGAACAATATTCCATAGAGTTTTCTATACTGGATCTGGACTTGAAGAAACATAGATAGCTTTCATAAATTACAAATTAGTCGTGAATCACCACACATGATGTTAGGATCATTTCCGCTGAATTTTACTTATGACTCAAAAGTTACATATCGTAGTTTCTGCAGTGGAAACGTTCTATTCTTATACTTTACTATACCAAAATGTACTGCTAATTCATTTTGTATAATTTGGTTTGCATTTTTATGTTGTCTATGTCGAAAATGGGCTAATGCTTCCAAAAACCACTTTTTTTTTCAAAAAAAAAACAATTAGAAAAAGGAAACATCAGAACATGAACGACATCACGTTTGTTTTGTTCACGAATGTGGTCTTGAATTTGGTCGCAAGACTGCAAGACAATTTTATGCAACTCAGTTTGGAAAAAATCCGACTATCAGAGTTTTAATTTTTTTTTCTGCTGTCGAGATATTTCTCAACGTGAGTTTGTTTACACCTATTTTGCCGCACCGCTGCGATTATCTATAAGCACAAATTTCTTTGAAACGGCAGTTCAAAGAATGAAAAAAATATTTTGTTCTAGGCAGCGAAAAAAAATTTCCCTTTTCTCTAACACTCAAAATTTGCCACTATGTTGAATTAAACACAGTTTGTTGTGCTCAATTCTGCATCTAAATCTTCCTCTCCGTTTTCTAATCGATCGCATTATTTATATGCTGTATAACCATATGTCACTCGGTTCAAATTATACAATGCCTTATTTTATTATACTTCCTAAAATTCCACATGTTGCTTAACTACTTCATGTAAAATATAAATTCAGAATCACTAATGTCATCCAATATCGCTCAATACTTTCGGTTTCTATGTAATTTCTGCTCACCACGCTATTTTTTTTATTAACATGTTCTCAACAAGTTCCCTTCCAACCCACAACTTCCCCGTATCAACATTCAAATACCGGTCACATTATACTCCTAAAAGCTCCACGCCAACTTTCCCATTCGTCAATTTCCGGCTATAATACGCCTGTTCACTTCCAACAACTCATGTTACTGCCTCTTCCAAGCAGTCCCCTACGTCACATCGTTCATTCCGTATATCTCTCCGCTTGAGGACAAGCTCACTCTGTACCCCTAGGATGAGGTGAAGGTCGCTGTTTGGTTATCCAACCCGCCTAAGCCAACTCCTCCACTCAATCAGTCTGGAGATTATGGTACCCAAATCGAAGTTCTCTATGGTCTCGCCGTAACACGTGTACTCCTTACACACGTAACTCGGAAGACGTGCAACAACAGCCGAACAAGCTCGAGGACGAGCTTTCTGAAGGAATGGAGATGTCGGGACGCAGCTAAGCTCCGCCTGCTGCTCTCCCGTGAGCTGGCCGAGAAGGTCAGATAGAAGCCAGTGACCCCCTACGACCGCGTCCGGTAAGGCTGCCTAGTCAGTCTTCCCCCTTCCCCTTTCTTGTAATATATGTAGATAATAAATATATATAATACCAACCTGTACCGCTACACATCAAGCTAGGGCCCGTACACCCCTAGACTTGACATGTATACGCTGGGGTGGGGTCAAATTCAAGAATTATGAGAATTTTGTTGCCAAAGACCCCGCAAATTGGAGAGCAAATACACTCACTGGAAAGAGGAGGAAAAGCTGCATCGAATAACACCTTAGTTGTGCGCCGTTTCATGATCGCTTGCTTTTGGCATCACCAAAAGTGGAATTTGATAGCATCAGAAAAATAATTCTAAAAAATCTTTAAGGCTGGCTATAGATGCCGCAAAAATGCATTATATTGCCCTTTGTTTGCTCTATCTAACTGTTGCCAAAGCTTTTTCGAAAGTCAAAAATAAAGATTGTGAGAAATTGCCAAACTTGGATATAGTGAAAACTATGGGTTTGAAATTTCGACGTTTATCTCAGTGAACAAAAGATAAATCGGCATGGACGCATGACAGTTAGAAAGAGAAAGAAAAGATACGTCGGATACTGCTTAGAGCGTTTCCCTATCTTCGTTCCACGCGTTTTTATGATAGGTTGAAAAAACGGACAAAACTTTCGGGACAACCTAATATTTCGTGAAAACTCGTTAAATTAGTTAACTACGAGCATTCTCTTTTTTGATCCTCGAACGTCAAGAACGACTAGCCCCATACTAACAGTAATACATAGTTTAAAAGGTACACCTTGTGTGCAAAAGATAACGATAAAGATGAAGATAAAATGTGCCCATGTAAAGATAAACCACCTAAAATATAGCGGTAGCAGAGATCTAAATTAAACATCTAAATTGTGCATGATGCTTATTCTAATCTAATATGCCTTATATTTCACTGCGAATTTTTTTTCAAAAATGTTTGTAGGCTATTTCTCAGCAGAAAGCATAGTCACAAACAGTGAGTACACTTACATATGTTCCAGCAAACAGACTAACAAGATCATATTCCTCATTCTTGTTGTCGTCTTCATTCCCCATGGAGTCATTTCTCTTCTCATACACCGCTGTTAGTATGATCGTTCGGCCTTCTTCAAAATGCTCAGGTTTCACAAGCTTTTCTATTTATGAAAGAATATTAGTAATTCAGTCTTTTGGGAACAGTGACGTTGCACATATCAGCCTGTTGCAAACAATGGGAATTTTTACATGAATAATCTATTTTTGTCTATCATTCGTTTTTCTTGCCAATAAGGTTTCAACTGACAAGATTTCCGGAGACAAAGAAATTGTCCATAATGCGCCCGCACGGTGGGGCCTTCTTTTGTAGGGTTACGGTAAATATACGGTATAACACAACCTAATATAATATATTAGGTTGTTCTAAACGTTCCGTCGCTTTGGTGTTGCAAAAGTCGTAGCTGCTCCCTATGTGAACCCAATGAAATACTAAAAAATACTTCCCAGTCGCATTTTTGCTGCTCTATGACGACAAAAGGTCCCAGAAAGAAAATTCGAATAGGAGAACCACTCAAGTCGTAATTTTCGAAAATAAATCGTCAAAAATCTAATACGCTGCAGGAAAATCTGAGAGCATATTTTTAGCGGGTTTGTGAGCTGCTCTGTCTGATGCTGCCAAGATTGTGCTGATCGAGCTTTCCTAAGAAAAGTTGCGTCTTTCGTGCGTGTAAAGCGCGAGAACAGCAAAAATGACTTAAAATGACAAAATCTTCTCAATTCCATCTTCGCCTCCTTTTCATCACCTTAGTCAGGCTTTGCAGCTATAAACTAAAGTGAAATGTATACAGAGCCTACGCAACGGCACAGCTCCCTTAATAATCTACAGTGTATTAGATTACAATTTCATTCTTTTTTCGGAAATGGGCGCGAAATTCTGAGGAAGTGTATAAATGCCAAAAAAGGACGAGCTCAGTGTCATTTTGGAATTTTGCTCTTGCGAAAATAATTCCAGATCTCAAGACTTTTAGCTTGTTCATGTAGGGATGCCAGAAAGGTCTGCTTTTTTATTTTCACTCATATCTACTACACTCTATAGAAACTCTATGAATTTGTTTATATCTTTTATGATACGAAGGTCTAATAGGTAATCTAGCTTAATCAAGAAATTCTCTTATATCTGCACGGCGGAGAACTTGAAAGCCCGACACATATTGGATGCATTAGGTTCAAGAAGATGTAAGTTAGAACTTATAAAAACATTTTATTTTTCTGTGCTGTTAAGTGGACAATCTATCTTTTCTTTTGCTACCATCCCGTCTAGCCCACACTGTCATAAGACTCATGAGATCATCCTCGATAAACATCTCTGATCACCTCATCCTAGCCATATGTAATTCAAATGTTTACAGGACTTACTTCCTTCCTTGCCTTACCTTCCTCAATAGTTCTGCATTTCTTCAGAAAAAATTTTTTTTTACATTCATTTGTTCACACTTTGGTAACGTACAAAACATTTGTTGTTCAATTAACATTCGGTGTTTAATCAACAATTCAACATTTATTGTTTGATTATTAGAGTACCTTTCTAATCAAGGCTTATTTAGAATTTTCATACATTTCATATTCAAAAATATAGCATCTAAGTGTGTATATCTCTAACAAGGGAAGGATAGTTGGATGCCGCGGCCATTCCTAATGATTTGTATACCAAAAAATGCGCCTTCGAATGCAGATTCTGAATCTGTGCTCGAAATCTGCGAAACGATCTTTTGAAAAAAGTTATGAACTTTTTTCCTTGGAAATTTAGCCTACTTTTGGATAGTAAAAATCACCAGATTTGATCTAGCCTACCGTTTGATGCTACTAAAGAAAATTTTAGACGTAGTTATATTTATTTAGACTATCTGGATCATACTCAGCATTTGGAAAGGAGAGAAAATTTTTTTATTGATGATTTTGACCCTCCGCAGGAACGCAATTTTTTAATAAAAAAAATCATAACTCTATTCAGATTATCGTTTCGCAGATATGAAAGACAGTCTACGAACCAGCATTCAAAAGCGCATTTTTTGGTACACAAATCATTATGAATGGCTACGGCATCCAAGTATCCTTCCCCTGTAAGCTCGCTTGACGAATCTCAATATAGTCAAGAACGGTGGCACAAAATTTTTTTCAATAGGGGGGGGGAGGAGAGAGAGAGAGAGAGAGAGAGAGAGAGAGAGAAAGAGAGAGAAAGGAGCCGACATTTCTAAATGATGGGCAAGCGATAATGACACACATCACTTCGAAAACCTTCTTGAAAGTTTTCAATGTGTCATGGTGAAATGTTTATTTTTACAAAACCTGAAAAAATATCCTTTTGGTGCACAACAAAACATTTTTATTACTTCGCTAATGCAATAAAAGCTCCATTTCCCTGTCTTTTCGTATGAAAAATGTTTTCTTAACTTTACACTTTTTAGGCCCCTGCTCACCATGAATGTGGCATTGTTGGATCAATCGGCCATGGATGGAAGTCTACGACATGGGCAAAAAGCGCCCAGTGAAAGGTATTCCATTTAGTTTCTGCTCTACTAGATAGCGGGGAGTTTGTCATATGATCTTTTTTTTTGGGGGGGGGGAAGAAAGTCTCGATGGATGATGTGCTATTTACTCACACGTCATGAAATCTGAGCTGGACTCTTTTAAGAAAATATTTTAAAAGTCACACTGATTGCTTTTCCTTTGCCAGATGGTGGTGCCAGCGCTTTCAAGTGTCACAAATTATCGCAGCAAATTCGGCAACTTTTTGGAAAATATCTCTAAATTTTTTACCCTTCCTTTTCTCACTGAAAGGTCCTGAAGAGGGCCAGAGAATCAAACTACATCTGAAGAAAACAATGAAAAAGAATTTAGAGTAATGCCATGCGTAATCTTATATTTTGTGTGGCTGATGCAGAATTTTTCTTTCAGGGGGGGGGGGGAGAGGAAGAGGGAGGGTAGCATTGAACTTTTTTTCCGAATGAAAAACAAAGTAGTTTGAAGCGCACAAGCTTTGTGAGAACTTTTGAGCCAGAAAAAATTGAGCATGGTACCCAAACCCCCAAATTTTTTACAAAGTTGAGTTCTGTTCTCAAATGGTTACTCAATTTATCACCGCCATGCAAAGCTTGATTGCGTGATTCCATAACTTAATTGGACCTCCACAATTTTCTTTTGATTTCCTCATCTCTCCCCCCCCCCTCACCCCACACATTACTGTGTTGCTTTTATCTCTGCGATTCTAAGTTCTTGAACAGCAGATTCTGTGCGAAGTTTTGGAGTCAGAACATCTGGCACAGGAAGAAAAGTATCAGTTTTGTACCCGAGCATAACCGAGCAAAAAATTCACGAACCGTAGTTTATGTGGTAAAATTTTGTTGGCCAGCTGTCTACTCTTTTTATATTCCATATGTTCGGGGCGTTCGAATCTGCTTTTACAATGCCGATGTCTTCCATGTTCTCTTTCAGAAATATCGTTTATAAATTTTTGCCGTAAGAGGAACGTGTCTTCTTCTCTTCTCTATTTCTGGTATCAGGTTACATGAGAGCAAATATGTAGTACATGTTTTTCCATCTCATTTTGGAAATTTAGTAGTTGGTTTAGGGTATACTGTTCTAAAGCCTCCACTTCGCCTCTCGTTTTCGATTCCCTTTGACGGTTATGCAAGAAAGGTTCTCGAGTTTCAAAACACTTTCGGTTATTTTTTGTTTTGCCCACACCATGAATATACCTGTCATCGAAAATGTTGCCTACTTTGTGATTGCAGCAAAAAGTGAACCTCGGCTATGCTATGCGAAAGTTTTTGTAAATTTTTAATCAGAATTTCGACTTGTTTGGATGTGCGCGCTTTCATGCTTTGTGAGCGTACACTGAATAGAAATAAAAATTTTGTAGTGCAGTTAAGTGCTCGGCACAACTCGCACCCGGGCAAGGTGATATCGTTTTTGGAACAAAAAGCAAAGGGTATACCATGTTTGTGGCCCAGAAGACACAAAAATTTTTTTGATCGACGTTTCGTTTTTTCCGAGTTTTTAGTTTAGGGTTTAGAATCAAAGGGGAATTCGTGCGAAATATCCAAGATCAAAAATGATTTCGCTTTGAAAATTTTTCTGGTGTCAGCTCGAGCCGAGCCCTGGTGCAGTTGCACTGAAGCGCCAAACATAAAAGTTTCTTAATAAAAGTTCTGCCTCTTTCCTTACTGTAAGTGTGGAGTTTTCTCACGCAAATCACCAAACCTTATCTTTTTTGCAATCAAATATGTATTTGTAGACAAAAATCTTCTCGATTATTTTTAGAGTGAGAGGAGTGTTGAGTAACTTCTACAAATTCATACAAAAGGTTGAGAGAGAAAGGGGAGGAGAAGAGTGTGAATGTCGATGTACAAATTCCATCAGTCTACAAATTTTTGTTTTTATCGCTTTTGTATCTTCCTCTCAAAACGTTTATGCAAAAATGCTATTGAAATCCAGAATGCGACCTGCAGCTCTATAAATTCTCAAACGATGCTTATATTTGTAAAAATCAAAATAAAATTGGATCTTCTGAAATCAAATTGGCATCATGAAAAGTTTTTTCCATGGGCGTGGCTATCTCCCCCTCTTGCTGTCTCCCCCCTCTCCTTCTAAAATTCTGGAAATATGGCCCACAAAAATTTTGGGGACCCGAAGGGAGCAATTTTTAGTGCCTGACTAAGCCAAGCACCCTTCTTTGGTACAAATTTCTGCCACCCACCCCCTCACGAGCGAAAATTCTGGGACCACCTCTGATTAACAAGTAAAAACTGAACAGAAAATAATCAAACGATCAAGTATCTCTATTGAACGCTCTTACTGCTTCACTTGCATATCCGTTCTTAGTGGTATTGTCCATTTTTCCTCCAGTTGGTGAAAAATGGCCGCTCCCCCCCCCCCTCCCTCCTCCCCGTCTCCATCCTGCAACGAGTGCTAAAGCGCTGAACTTTCTACGATGGTTGACATCTTGCATTAGCCTTCCGAAACTCTCGTGGGACTAAAATGCAGCGATGATTGCGCTCCAAACCTTGTTCTCTATAATGCTCTCTGTGCTTTTTGCGACCTCCTTTCCCCTTTTTCCACCCCTCCCCCCTGCTCCTCCAACATAGACAACTTTTTCTTGCGTCTCATAAGTGCTATGTAATTGGATACATGCCGTTCAACAGCGTTTCTAATGTAAGAATGTATACGAAAGTGTCGAATGAATGTTTTAGTCCGTAATAGTTCGAGCATTTCTTCCCTTTCATTGGAGCCTAATGGTTTCTCCAACAACTGTTCTCTTACGTTGATATTTTTTGGCATGCTATTGCATTAAATATCATGATCAGGCAATAGCAATCGCACCATCACAAAAATTACTCAAATTTCTTATAACGCCAAGATCTGGTAACTTAGTTTCAGCCTGATTGTAAAATGTGGTAATTTATAAGGATGTGTAGAATCTTTGTAGGAGAATTTCTATGTGACTGTTTGGTACCATCGAAAAAAGCAGGGAGAACTCATATACCAATTGAAATACTGACTGATAAAACTTACTGTATTAAAACAAACTGATCGTTAAGAAGAATTGGTGAAATTTAGCGAAAAAGGAAGAAACTTAGTTAGTTATTTAGTTACTAAGGATGTCTTTAGAAATTTTCCAATCAAAATAAAAAATTTGAAAAAACGTTGAAGTGCACTTGCATCAGATGTTCTGCGATGGAAATTTTCATTTTATAATTTTACTGAACTGTGCTTAACGATTTGATATCTACAATCTCGCAAGCAGTCGTCAAGAACCATAAAGACCATATTCATACTTTGGTTGAATGTTGATTCCGAAGTTTTATCGTCGGTCTAGACAATTTTTTCCTTGAATTTGGCTGCAAAAGCTCCTCAGAAGTTTTCCCTTTTTTCTTGTTTTAAGTAATGAGCAAAACTGACATAACGGAGTTCGCTATGTTTTGAGTTCACTTTGTTTGCTTGATCGCAGCTTTTCCTTCAAATCCTCAATTTTGCCCCTATCATACCTGAATTTTGCACTATCATCATACGGCAGAGCAAACGCAATATCATATTTTAGCCACTTTTCATTATTATTCTACATTATTCAAATTTTTATTAGTCTCCAAAGATCCATTGTGACACTGACTTTTACTAAACGTTTATTCAGATTTCGCAACAAAAAACTTCGTGCATTCGATTTCAGATAAATCAGCGCTAATCCGTGATAGCTTTTCAAATATAACAAAGTTTGTGCTGAATAAACACTTTGGGAAGATTTGTGTTTTTGTTAGATATGGTATAATAGATCAAAGAAATTGAATGTTTATCTCATTATCCCAACCATGAATTTTCTGAATCCAATCACCACAAATTTTCTGTATGCTAAAAGTAGAACTCAAAATTTTGGTGGCGAGGAGCGATTTTATTGAACTGACAGCCCATATTTTTGTTTTATTGTGCCAATATCAACCATGGTTTCTCTACCACTGGAGCTCAGTGTGCCTTTTTATAATCAGAGAGTATTCTTTCCTTCTGCCTTTCTGAAAAGAGACTTTTTTTGAAGTTTATTAGTTTCTGTACTTTCGGGCGACTCAGCTTCTAGCCGGGATCTGCCGTGAAAGCTTCCGTTATTGAAGTGTTCGGACTTTTTTCGCCCAGATAATGTTGCGTGTAAGTGGATAAGTGGTAGATTTACGGGCCCAAACTCGGACTATGCCCGAATGATGCATTCCTTAGCTCAGATGCCTTTTTTGCTGAATAACTACTTGTCGGATGCTCTCGTGCAAAAACTTAACATTTGTTCTCTCAGGGATAAAGTGTTGGGTTGCATAACATCAAAAATTGCTAAAAGTTCATCTAAAAATTTTTCAAACAACGTTTCAAAATCACATCCTATATTTCTTGAAACCCACAATAAGTGTTATGTTCAAGTACGCATAATAGAAATCTCTTTGAAGCAAAACCAAAAGCTGAGTAGAAAAGTCGAAAGTTATAATTGGAGTGGAAACATCCAATTACCGCAGATTTCCCGCAGTTAAAAACGGTTGGAAACGTATTTGAAAAAATTAGAGTTTAATGAGTTTTCTAACATTTTAGAGTCCCAAATTCAAAAGTAACGATTTGAGTGTTCCTCTTAATCAGCCCTTGCATCACCAGGATATGCCAGCATGGCTTTTTACTTTGAGCAATATTTGAAAGCGCATGGTTTTTTTTATTTCGGAGCTATGTTAAAATGAACAAATCCGTTGAAAGCTCGAACAGGGCTCTGCACGAGCTGGCACTCGGAAATTTTTAAAACGATGTCCCCTTTGATTTTGAAAATTTCATACGAAGTCCTCTTTGACCCTAAACCCTAAGGGCTCCGTCATACTTCGCCGAAAAAAGCCCAAAATCGCCAGAAAAAGCCGGAAAGCCCCCTTCTGTTTTGGCGCTAAGGCTTGTATGTTGATCTCGCAACCGAGTTTTTTGGTTCATTTTCTGTTGTCTGTACATCAAATAATGTCAAAATTCTACCAGTTCGTTTCTGCGTTCCGGCTCTTTCCGGCGCTTTGGGCTTTTTTGGGCTTTTGTCGGCAAAGAACGATGGTCCCTAAGCGTAGAAAAACTCTAAAATAACTAAACGTCGACTTACAAAAACGTTACAATTTTTGTGTCTTTTCGGCCACAAAGACGATATTACCTTTGCTTTTTGTCCCAAAAACGATATCCAGCTTGACCCGTGCCAGCTAGTGCCAGACCCAGAGCGCAAATAATTACGATTCTCAAAAAATTTTGGTGCATATGTATCAGCCTATTATATGACATAGTTTTCGTTTGCTCTTGTGCATTAGTCCATTTCATGTGCTTGGGTAACTTTGCATTTGCTCAGCACATTTGAAGCAAAAAACCATAAAAATAACGCAAAGCATGTACCCACTTTCTGCAAGAGGTGTCCTCAGTTCTTATGCAATTATGTATTTTTTACTTACTACGAGAATTTTCCTAAACAAGGCAATATATCAAAAAAGCGCTTGGCAATTCTTCTTTTGCGACATGCAATCATGACAAAATCACGGCAGTGCTACAACTTTTTTCCTGAAATTTTTTCGTTTTTGGTAGCGATCTGAAGTGTTAGAGTTTGGATCATGTCTCGAGCTGTCATTCGCGACTGTTTTGTCAGATTAAGACGTCGGGACAGCAAACTTTACCGGAATCATCCTACATTTTCTTCTGTTTTATTAAAAATGGGAGCAATACCTATTCATAAGATCAAGCCGAAAGTTTTGTTTTTCTTTTGAAAATTTGTAATTTCTCTATACCATGGTAGATATTTTTTGTGGATTCATTAAAAGGAAATTTCTTCAGTCCAGTGATGTTTTGAGCAGCGTCTACTAGACATCAAATGCAAAGATAAAAATGAAGAAGAATTAAGCTCTGATCATGTTGAATTATGTAGGTCCGCAATAAATCCCGAAAAAATGCAAGAAAATCTTAAAACGGGAATAGGTTTTTTTTCGTATCACTCTTACTGACTGATAGAAGTTTCTGTTGGTCGAGGGTCTTTGTTAAAATCTATCAGTTCCTTGTTCACAACAGAAAACGTCATCAATAGTTAATTTCCATTTTTCTTGAGATTCACAACTTTTCACAGAGACGTCCGGACATCATAAACTCTCTTCCGTTGGGTAGAGTAGGTCATAAAAGTTGTATTTTGAGAAATTTCACATTTTCTGCATGTTCAGAATATTTTTTCGACTAGCAAGATAGGTAAGCTTGAGCGGTCTTCTTTTTCCATTTATGCTTCTGCTATCAGTCAGTGTTTAGTAAAGAATAAGCATGATAACTTTACAGAACGGAAGACTCTTCCGTTCTAAATAGTAAGACCACATTATCAAATCTTCAAAGACGAAAAAGTACGAATTTTTAGAAAATGTAACAACAGAACTTTCTAGACGTCCTGCTATACCGCGAAATAAACATTGGAGGTTTTTATAAAGCCCATTGTCTAGTCTGCCTTTGCATATGTCTGCTTTTTGAAAAAAGAAATGTTCCAATGCTTGTATTTTTTGCCTGCAAAACTGAACGAAAAATTTACATGAAAAGCAATGTTTATTTTATCTCCATTTCGTATTTTCCCCAAGAAAAAAATCTCACGTCAGGGTGATGTCGTGTTCAGCGAAAAAGCATGGCCATTTAGCCCTTTCTGCAATTTTTTTGTCCCTCTAATTGCCTCAAGCAGGAGACTGAACTTGTAATTTATCTACTATTTTTGTGTTCTAACACCTGTCCTCTGTGATATGTTTGCTCTCAAGGTTTGTTAAGAATAGCTTATGAAACATAATCTCAGCCTTGCGTGAGGAATATGAGGCTTGTTATTTTCGTCACTACCTTTTACTATATATGTCACAGTTGATATTTGAGCAACCTTGGACGTACAATGCCAAGCAATGCTTTAGTGAACCCTTCTTCGAAATTGTTTGTTATTTATTATTTAAAAATAAAAGTGGTAAATGATACAATCGAAAAAAGCTCAGAAACAACTTATTAGGTCGTGCCGCAGTCAATATGGTTTTGCGGAGATTCAACTCATACTATCATGTTTCCGTTGAAATATACTATAGATCAACTGAGACAAGAACCAACGTAGCACATAGTAGTTTCCTGTTGAAGTCATTAGAAAAGGTTATTTACCAAGAAGATTTTATTTTATTTTATCGAGGCTGTGCAATGCGCAAATCAACAATAAAATTTTTGCACAACTTTATACACAAAAATTGCACAATCAAGATGTCTAATTGCACATTATCTCTACATTTCTATAATTTTTTATGTTAGCTGTAACCTCTTAAACTTTTGAATACCTTTTAGTACGGCTTACTACTTACTGATAAAGCTTGAAGGGCCTGCATCAAGTAGTTGATGTCTTTGGCATCACAAGCAGGGTTCGGTACGAGGTGGCTTCCCAAAAAATGCAAAAAACGAAGTCTCTCTTGACTTTGGCAAAATTTCACGAATTTTCATTTGGTCCTAAACGCTAAAGGTAAAAAACCCTCAGGAAAGTGTTTTCACTCACAAAAACGATATTGCCTTTTCTCAAAAGCCACCTGTGCCGACCTGTTACAAGGGATTTTTCGACTGAATGGGATTTCTATCAATTGCAGTTCGTTTTTGCGTTATTTCCCATTTTTTTACTTTTTCAAATTAAGCAGCTAGCTATTGCGTAGACTACAGATTAGGTTATGCGTGGGTAATTCGTCATAATTTATGGGTCTTCTGTCGATTTTGAATTTTTCGCTCAGGATCGTGATTATTTTGCTATAGAAATGTCAAACTTTGAAAACTTTCAAGTTTTCCTTGAAATCCTGCAGCTTCAATTTTCTCGCAGAAAAGCATAAATTGTCTTTTTAGCCGATTGTGGCTCATGAGATTTCAAATGGTTTAATTCAAGCTTTTTTAATTCAGCAGATTTGGGAGCTGTTCGACTCACAACCAGATGCACGATCTACTCTTTTGCAAGCATATCAATTTCTTCAAAATTAAACATTTGTGGAATGATTAGAAGAGAACGAAAAATGAACTATCTTCTTGTCTTACAGTAAGCAAAATCTCATTCCAGCGTGGCTGCAAATTTCTTATTCAATTTCGCTTCCCTGTTTGTTCTAGTAATGGTCGCTGGCGAATCGCTTAGTCTCATTTATAGTTTTTCCGTTTCCAAAGGGAGCGCCGGATAATGGACTGAACAAATGTAATTCAAACGAGCTGTGCCTTTTTTAATCTCCCTGGGTGCGTTTCAGAAACTAAACGTTTCCACATTTCAAAGAATTAATTTTATAAACTTGCCAGCCTCGCACCCTTTAACTAATAACCATTCATCTTGCTTATGTAGTCATGTGGAATTTCGTGAATTCGTGAAAATGCGAAAATGAATCACCAGAAATTATGCTTGTCTAAACTGAGTTGAATGCTCTCCCATATTTCATTATTGGCTAACAGTTGCCATGAATACTCTTTAATCTCATGAATCCCCATCAGTCTACGTGGACTGTAAGATTGTGCTAGTGCTTCTTATGAAATGTTGATATATATTTTCTGTATTTTTATAGAAAGCCGCTAGCTTTTTTAAGAAGCTCATAGTCTATGGTTTATGAATTTTGTTTCAAGTGACCAAAGTCTGCTCTAATCCCTTATAAAAAAGAGGTGAAAAAATTTTTTGGTGATTCTCACGGTCATAACTTTCTAGGTCAATTCGATCAGCACAAGCTTTGTTCAATTGGAGAATAGACCACCAAACCCATTTTGTTTCCTTTCTGAGCCTAGATGGACCCTTCAAGGCTCAAATCCTCTGCAAACTTAACGTAATCTTACAATATGAAGAGAGATGGGTGATTTGCTCAACACTGTAAACCTAAGTTGAAGCCAGTCATACAGAATAGTACGTGAAGCTTCTCCAAAATTAACATGACAACACGAAAGTTATCAACGATCAAACAGTAGGCACATTTTTTGAGACCCCTGTGCAATAGTTTGAAGAAATGAGCAATCTCGTCGATAGTGTTGGTTCACACATGAAGGTCATAAGCAGCTTTCGATTGTCAAAATCTCAAAAAAAAATTTTTCGCCCGGTAACATCTGCAGCTCTTGTTTTCAAGGTAGAAAAGTAAGAAGTAAAATAAGTGACCAGGTTTGCTGATTTGTATGTATTGATCAAAACGAAGAGGCATGCGAGGGTCCATTAATTCTGCGCGTGTCACAATCTCACATTTATTTTGGTACTATTTACTTGCTCCTTGAAACATGAATCCTGGGGTATGAAAAATACAGCTTTCGTGTTCACATCTAACAGAGTAGAAAAAGTTCTTCCTTTAGCAGTCCTAAATTTTTTTGTTTAGATCGGACGATAAAATTCATTGTATGAAGTCACTTGAGCCATCCGCAGAAACGGAAGGCAGATTTGAAATCAGCGTTCAAAGCTGCTTCAGATTATGCATCTCATATCAAACAGCCACGGCCATTGAAAGTACTTCCCTCGTAAGATGCAAAGAATTTTGCCACGTTTTATATCAGAATCTGAGAAACAAATTCTTTCACAAGCTACTTTGATTTTGTAATATTTTGGGTAATTACTTTGGTTCCTTTTATCATTTACAATCGATAAAACGTCATATACATGAAATGTAAGCACTGACGTTTTACCATTGATCAGCATCGTAAAAATGGGAATAAAACACGAAAATAAAGCAGAATATAAAGTTAGGAATGTGAAGAACATCTGAAATGCTAATATAACAGAATGAAGAAAAAAGCTCTGCCGAACATATGGGACAAAAAAATGCAGAATATCTCGGAAAAGATACACAATCTGTTAGCTAAAAGAAATTCGACATTTCATGCGATCACCACTCGCTGACTCCACTTGAAAATGTTCTGGCAAATGTCTAGACTCACAGAGAAAAACACTGATTTTCACTTTCTTGTCAAGAACTCTTCAGAACTTTTATTCAGACCCTGTTATTTCAGCACAATGGTTGAGAAGCCAACAATGGACTATGTAAATCGGCCGGAAGGCGAAATGGATATGATGATCGGTTTTTTCTTAATGAATGGTGTATGTGTAGGTAAGGCTTTGTTATGAACAAAAATTACGCTATGAGAATGTCGGATCCAAATTTCTTGCGTGAAAATGCCAAACGGACATGCTGTCGTTACAAAAAGAAATCACAAGTACCTTTAGTCAAATTTTCACAGAAAGATTATTGCTATTTGAGCGAAAATGCTATGACGACTACGCAAACTTTTCAAGTCATTAAATCTGAAATTTCGATTAGATTAATTGTGAGGCAATTGGTTATGTAACTGAAGGAAATATATTTACTCAAGCAGTTTTAGCACAAATATTAGGAGCGGGTTATTAGGTTTAATCCATAAGTCTTGCACCAGTTTTCGAAAAATCGTAATTTCTCAAGTTTCAATTCCAACGTAATCGTTCGATCCATTGTCATTTAGAAAAAAAAAGTGATTTGAATTCTTATTTTCAGCAAGATGCATGTTGGCATATCATGCACCTACAGGCTTGCCAAATCGAGGTTTTCAAACTTTAATCTCTAGAAATATCTAGCAAGGTTTTAGCTTTACTTTCTATTTTATTAGAAGAAAAAGGTTTTTTCTTAGTTGTCTCGTTCAATCTCTGCTATACATTCGTTGCAGAGATAAAAATGGATGGTAAGACCATATGATTTGACGATTATAAGATAGGTCGCCAGAAATATGGAACGCCGCAAAAATATCGAAGATTGCCAGTACATGATTTTTATGACGTATTCTCTGCATTCTGTGAGAAGTTATAATTTTCAAGTTTACAATAGAAAACGCCATATTGATTAATTTGTCACTTTGAACATCATAACTTTTCATTGGAATGTCCAAACAGTACAGTTTTTTTCTCAGATGCAAAGCGTAGGTCATAAAACTTATATGCTGACAATTTCAGATTTTTATACGGCTACCTAACTGGTAGCCGGCTTTCCACCCCGAATTTGGCTACCTAACTGGTCTGCTTCTTCCATTTTTATCTCTGCAATGAATGTATAGTGAAGATTCAACAAGAAACCTTTAGAAAGAGAGCGACTTCTTCTTTCTAAAGAGATTAGTAAAAAGCAAATCGTTGTACAGCAAAAAGTTACAAATTTTCAAAAATGAAACGACAGAAGTTACGGGATAACCTTATATAAAAGTATTTTTTTCTAGTGAATCTTCCATCGCTACTTTCCTCACTCCCTCATAACATCAACAATTCCAGCGTTCTTCTTGTTATTCGGATTGTGTGTCATATTCTCGTGCTTACGGCAACGACCAAAAATCTTTCGTAAACAGCGGACTGTACGTAAACAAGCAGCAGTACCTGCGCCACCTGCGCCAAAGTTCAAAAGTTCGTTTTTGTTTTGTTTTGGTCAATGGTCAACGCGTATTGGATTTATGAAATCTTTAGCTTTGGTCTCACAAGCGATACGAACTGGAAAGATGGACAAGCTGAAGACAGTGGTGGAAGATGTGGAGGATTCAGCAGAAAAGAAAGAGATTGAAGCTCGGCATGATGGAAATTCGGTAAGGTTTTCTCAGCTTCTAATTCCGAGAAAACGCCGAAAATGGCTTTTGATTCGTTTTGCACCGAGTTTGTCTAAAGACTGGCTCGATTGTAACCTTTTTCCGAACTAGTTAATTCCATAAAATCACTATCACTCTGAAACAGGGCAATCATTCTTTTCTAACTTTTGTTCTCGGAAATCCATTCAGCATCTTAGGAATTCCCAAGTTCACCTATATCTTGTCCTCTTCGAACTAAGCGTCTAATTTGTTTGACATCACTTTCGAAGTCAAGTAATTCAAAGACTAAGAACATGTGATTTTTGACTTTTCTAATTTTTTTGAATTTGGAAACTCTACGTCACCCGCTCAGGTATCGTTTTTGAGAAAAAGGGCACAAGATTTGCGACGTTTTTTGGTCGACGTTTCGTTTTTTGGAGATTTTTAGGAATTACGGTCTGGGGTCAAAGAGGACTTCGTAAAAATCCGCAAAAGTCAAGGGACTTCGTTTTTTGCATTTTCAACTAGCCACCTCGTGCCGAGCTTTGCACCCGCTTCTCAATCGTATTGCACCCATTTAGGTTCATTTGATTCGAATTTCAAACACTTTTTGAGGAGTCATACCGGAAAGTGAATGAATTGATGAAGCATTCAAAATGTCTTTATATAGACCTACTTTTCTAGAAAGAATAGTTGTTCGAAAACCAGCGATTAAAGAATAACGAATATTAAATTTAGGACTTTGATGGTCTTTACCTAAGCAATCTTGGTTCTAACCATGAACTATGATTATCTATTGCTGATTTTCTTTGAAAGTGCGGATTGGAATTTTTATGTCGTTTCAACAAAAATCCTATAAAAGGCAACAATCTTGCGATATTACACGATAAATCGCACTGAAGTCGAAAACTATGATTTTTATAACGAAGTTTTCTTTGATTATGTACTGATTTTGGTGCAAAACTTATCTTAGGTCGCATCACCCTGAATTCAAAATGATGACAAACGGCTCTGTAGAAATAAAGCATCAGCTTGTAGGCGCAATCCTGTTTTTGAACATTTTTTCTAACCCATATATCCCACAATTCGTTTGCAATCTAACACGAAGAATTTATTCCTTTTCTCTTTGTAGCCTTATGTCAAAATAATGGCCAGAAGCGGGTTTATCTTGAAAATGAAGGAGCTCAGCAACGAAATGCGCTGCGAATGTGGAGCTCTAAAACCATAATAACTAGCCTCTGAATTTTTGAATATTTTTTGCATATGCTTTGTGGTTTCATACGTGATAAAAAAAATGTGCCGGCGTTTAGGGTATTTATGCTTTTATGGGAGGGGGGGGGGGAGGGTTGAACGGTAACGCGAACCACCATGTTGCTCCTATACTCCAGCATGGCTTTTAAGGTCGCTTCTGTGACTTTCTAGAACGAGTATTTTCGGTAGTGGAATTAGTATATGCTTACTTTGAAATTTTCTGCATTACTTTGATCAAACCAAGCATGCTATTTGTGATAAGGTGCTTTTCATATTAGGCTTGCTTAAGTTCTTTTTCGTGATATGAGAAAGTCCCCAACACCAAAATCAAACAACAAAAATCATCAACAATTTTAGTGTAAGGGCAAAAAAAAATTTCCATGCGAAGAACCATAATTAAACGTACCACCACTCTAGGGGACATATTCGAAACTCATTCACATATTTGAGTAGTTTGTAACTTGGTATATATCGAATACCATGCTCGCTAATCCGCAACTTGCAAAATTAGACCTCCCCTTCCAGTGATTTCCCCATGTTTACTTGTCTCTTTTGGTTGGATTGGATACAATTAGTTGATAACTCAAAGCTTCACATTTTACATGTCAATTTGTAACGCTAGAGAGGTTTTACTAGGGATTTACACGAGGGTGTCGTCGGTTGCGGCGCATATTGTTCGGTCATGTATAAGTCACAAAAAGACGACGATACATTCGTCGGAACTGAAAATGGCACTTAGGGGAGAGGACTAAATGTCGCCGAAACGAGGCGGCCCCAGGGACTCAGACAACCGCGAAACAACTTCCGAGGCAAACTGAGCTTCTAAGACTTCCGGGGCGGACGCTACTACCGGTCCGTGTGGCGTAGGCCGTGTGGCGTGGGCCCGCCTAGCTGGCAGATCCAATAGGAGTGTTCCCGGAGGTCTTATTTTTTGCGATTGTCTGGAGCAGGACTCGGCACGAGCTGGCACCAGGGGAATTTCAAAACAAAGTCCCGTTTAATTTTGAAAATTTCGTACGAAGTCCCTTTTGACCTGTTTCGAAAACCCGTCATCATTTTTATATTATGTAAAAAATGTAGTAGTGTTTTCGTGCATTTCTGATTTCATGAAAGAACTTTTCACAGCTTTCTGAGCTTTTTAAGTGGTTGACGCCTTTGTTTGTTGATGGACACCTTGCCAATGGCATGCCGGTGGCACGCTGGCGGCATTCGGCAGTTCTCCGCCTCGGCCCCTGTAGAAACGATATCCCCTTTGCTTTCCGCCCTAAAAACGATATCCAGCTTGACCCGGTGCCAGCTGTGCTGAGCCCTGGTCTGGAGGTGTGTTCTTGCATGAAGTCCGTGCGGGACCCACCCACATTCGGCGACATACAGCCCTTCATCCGCACTTAGGCTGCTCCTTGGGCAAAGCTTATTGCATATTTACAGGTGAATGTCCATCTTGTACCACCAAAAGCGGAGAGGAAAAGCATGAACAGAGAATCTCAGCAACTTGAATCACAACAATCAGTCATCGAAGTCGAAAGTGAAGCAGAAGTTTATCCGAAGACGTCCGTCATACGGCAGAATTTGTTAGGACCGCTCACATTTGATGATTTGTATTATACCTAACTCTTGCTTAGGTTAATTAATCGACGCCGCTCACCGTTTAGCTCAGCGCTGTTCACAGTGTAAAATAGAGAAGGTCCAGGCTCTTTCTAATCAAAAGGAAGGTGAAGAGCAGGATCAATTCGCCAGCTTTTGATACGAAAGTAATAGTCGCGTAAGAAATTGCTCAGACGAAAATGTTACAGTTCTACCTTTACACTAAATTTTTTTATTTCGTAGGCTTATGTTTCATACCTCATATAACGAGATTTCTAGTGTTTGCCTAAAGCAAACAATTTTTATGATGCCTTCGAATTCATTTTTTGGTAAATTGCTTGTATAATGATGTGATTGTTGGCTTATTTGTATACATGTACCGCGCTCAAATAAGATTTATAAAACTTTGTTTTTTTTACTCGCATTGAAAAAAAAAACATCATATTAGAGTTGTGCTGATTGCTGAACTGTAGACCTCCCTGATGGCAAGGAATACTTGAACTTGACCTCTTAGCTTGCAGAGCCCCAAACTTTGCCTAACTATCATTCCAAATGCTATGCGTTCATCCAAAAGCCGAGGTGATGCACTAACATAGCCTAGTGAGATACGGTCTGTACGATAGAAAGTCAGTTTTAGTTGTTCTTTATCTGGTAAACGGATTATTGTCCACATCATCCATTCTCTGAAAACTGTTGATCAATTCTCCTTAGATGCAAACAAAAGCTACACATTTCGAAATCTTAATATATTTCTCTTTATGTTTTGATTAATTGTCAAGCATATTATTACTCACATACCATCCTGTTTCTCACAAGGGATGAAGACTTGGTTGTAGTGGAGTTTATAAAATGCAAACTCCCCATAGGGCTGTTTTCACGTCTGCTTTCGGTATCTGCGCGCTTCAGGGATGGGAGTTACGGAAATTTTCTAAGAGCATAAATTCAAGGGTTTGGCTAACAAGGGAAGGATGGTTGGTCGAAGTGGCCATTTGAGATGCCATGTATACTATGGTGGAGGGCATAAAACGCTGATTCCAAATCTGTCTTCCTGATCTGCGGCGCGTTCCCGGACGAGGAGTTATGAGCGTTTGAAGCAGCAAAAAATGAGTGTTTTTTCTGGGATAAAAACAGTTGCTGAAATTTTCTCAGCGCTTGAATGAGACATCCGTAGTGCGGATATATCTCACCCAAGAGTATTTATTTTACAGAGTGCTGGAAAGATTACCACTGGTCCATTTAAGCGCTAGGAATAATGTTACTGCTGTTTTTATATCATTTGCACATTCAATTTTTTTCTCCAATAAATGCTCATAACTTCTTGTGCAGGAAGGCGCCGCAGATAAGGAAGACAGATTTGAAATCAGCATTTTATGCCCTCCATGCCCTCTAAAATGGTATACAATTCATCGCAAAAGGCCACTTCGACTGACCATCCTTCCCTTGTAAGATAAAAACAGCTGTTAAGGTCTTTCCGGCGCTGGAGAGGAGTATGAACTGGCATAAGTTTATTAGACTTAAGGTATTAACTGCGTAAAGCTCCTTGGCAATAATCACGGCCTCACCTTGACTTTGCTTTGACTACAGTTCTGAATTATTTTATCGTAGCCGCGCATTCAAATTTTTGCTTTGAAAAATTCCCATAACTCCCCTCATAGAAGAGCTTTGCAGATTTAGAACTAGCGTTTTATGCTTCACAAGACTATACATTTTATGTAAACGCCACTTCGACCAATCCCTTTCTTGTCAGTGTGGAAAGTACCTGGCTAGCTTGAGTGTCCTAAAATCACTCAAAATCTCAACAATGAAGTAAGCATTTTGAGAAGCACTATTGCCCCATATGTCTATGATTATATAGGTATAAAAAATTTACCACTTGTGTAGATAGCGTTAACCCCCCCCCCCCTCCCCTCCCCATCGACTCAATAAAAAAGTGAATCACATTCTTGTCTATCATACCGAAGAGGACCGAATTGGTGAAGGTCAATCGATGTATTGATTACGACTTATCATTTTTCTGATCGGTATGGTGTTCGATATGTACAGGTGTTTATAAAATCGTGACGACGGATTTGACTGCGTTCATTCCGCCGCCCACAGGTGCGGGAAACACTCATACAAAAAGGCATCACCTCAACTCAAAGAGTCACTTCTAATGTCCAAATGCTGTCATATCTAAGCGGAAAAACCCTTCGCGTAAAGATGAGAACCAAAAAACGCGGTTGCCGCGAGGTGGGTGCGTGTCGCGTGCGGTCGCGCCATCGTCACGATTTTTCGAATGCCTATACTCAACATTCGCAGTCGCGCTCTGCTTGTTTTCGCCTGCCGTCATTTTGCAAAGTTTTTTTCACAACCTTCATAGCAAACCTTGCTACGTTCATCTGGTTCTACACGAGTAGAGGAATGAATCCTTCTGAGAGGCGACCCCAGCGCGGATAATTGGTCCTTTGCACAAACTGCCTATCGTATGAGAAAGGGTAGTCCGTTGTTGTTTCGTAACCGCTCCCCACTTTTTTCTGGCATTTGTATGAAGACTTCACGTTTTATCGAAATGGAGTACGCATGCGGAGACATGTGCGTGGAGCGTTTTGCAGGTTTGGACAGTTGAAAATGCGTTAGTCTGCGAAAACACAGAAGTTGTAGTGCAAACAGTGTTATGATCCAAAAGGGTATTTTATCTTCGTGGCATGCATCTTTATCTCAATATACAGGGTGTCCCAAAAGTCTTTAAGCCTAGTATTCCCTCAGCTGAGACCGTACGAAGCAACATATATACGCGAAAATCAGCATGTATTTTCTGAAGAATCTACAAAGCAAGTGCCCTCAGAATTGGAGGACTCCTCTTTGGCCTTCACACACGCCCTCAGACGCTTGTGGATCGCATGCACCTCGTCAGACAAGCAGCTGACGTCGGGATTGCCTCACACTTTCTGGAGCAAACGATCCAGACTGTTCAAAATTCAATGCAGAATAGAGATAGCATTGCTTTCCATGACTGATAACAGGGGAAAGTTGAGGGCCTTCGACTCTGCGATTAAAAGAGCGTTAATCTAAAAAGTATGTTTGCGAGATCTAAAAAAAGTATCAAAATGCAGCAATGAAGTTCTTGAGAAAGTTAAGAAAACAGCAATTTTAGTTTACCTAATTATGGAGTGACTTTAAAATGATATTTCAGTACGAATGCGGGGTTTACAGCTAGAATTAGTAACTCAGACCAATTTAATTTTAGAGTTTTCAACTTTGTCGGGTTTCCAAGAACATTTTCTTTTATTGGCGCAACAGTACTTCAAGCGTTTAACTCAATACTCATGAATAAAGAATGTTGGTTAGTTTTGCGTTACAAATGTAGAGTAGAGCCAGCTCTACATTATGCAGTTCGAGGTCCGGTAAGAGCTTCATGCAAAAGAGCTATGAGTTTTCAATAGGGACACGTTTCCACTGGCTTGTCCTCAAAATCTGTTGTGTTTGCCATGGCGTGTGTAGGAAGACGATTGGAGACCGAGTTCTTTACTTGACGACAAGGAACTAAGAATGAACTATACTTAATAAGGAATGCCTATATATAGAACACACAACTATATCACATATCATAAACAACAGATCAACATATTCGTTCATCCTTCTCGAGCATTGGTTTCTTGTGCGGCTGCACAACACCTCCCCTTCTAAGTGAAGCGGTGGGTCCTTTCCGCGCTGAGAATTGAGCTGACACTTCATCTTCTTAGGTTGCACTTTATGTTTCTCGTCAGCCGAGTATAGTGGACCCGGAGCGATATAAACATCGTATCCAGTGAACATCTCACCAAAGGAGCAGTCATCCAAAGTTGGGCTTGATATATCGCGACAGTGCATGGGAAGCTTTTGCACTGCCTCGGCTAACGTCTCTTCCTTTTTCGGCTTGGATACTAGGCACTGGAAGTTGTCGACGATTCGGCCCGTTCATTGAACTGCTGATGGCGAGTAAGTCGAACTTGTCTATCTTTTCCAGAATCGTGGATTTCGGCTGTCCTGAATTGAGTAATATCATAAGGAACAGGTACCTCGGCACTTTCAAATTGACTGGATTTTGAACGGGTTTTGACGAATATCTTGCTCTCATCTTCTTTTTCGAGCACAAAGGCAGCCGTTGCTTTCGTGCCGTCTTCTGTTTTGGGTTGAAACACTTCTGCGAACTGTGTTGTCAGGTAAGTTTGCTTCTTGTCAAGTGTATCGTTCGTAGCGGTCACAGCATTCGAATTATGACAGTCGATATCTGTGAAAGGCACAGTCGCTCTGGTTTCAATGCACTTCAAGTAGAGCTGGTTCATCAAGTACATTTTTGGTACCATTCAAGGCGATGCCATTTAGCGCATGCTCACATGTGCCGTGTCCATGGCATGTAATGCTGCTCCCATTAACAGCAGTCGAATTAAGTTTCGGGTTCTTTAGCTTGTGTCGGCCAGTCTTGATCCATGTGTCGTGATCTTCAGCTCCACAGTCAAGTCGTAACTCGACACATGTGTTGTTGGTTTTCACATTGCAGTACGACTTCGTCTCTTTAGGCGGTGAGATGACGACAGGATGGACGTCCTTGGCTTCATCGATAAATAGTTTCCGTAGACAGTACCTCTCTAGATGTCCACGCTTCTTGCAGTAGTTGCATTCAGTGATCGGCTTCTCGCACTTCCTGGTCCTATGGGTCTTCGCTCCGCAGTTCATACAAAAATGTGTTTTGGGCTTGTGACCGATGAATGGCTTCCGCTTCTCGTCTCGCTGCATCGCGTTGACTTGCGGGTTGTCGTTCATCTGATTCACGCTGACCTGCGGTACCTTGGCTTTGTCGCTCATCTGTATGTGATTCTGCAGTCCCAAGTAGTCTTTGTACTCTTCGTTGGATTCTTGCTTCGTCAGTTCAGCCATGGGTTCTCGACAAGACTTCCACAATTCCATGATTTGCTTCATTAAAGTGGATCGTGTCCGTGTTCGGGCTTGGGTTCGGGTTCTGATCGAATTCTGGTAGACGAGTAGCGAGTGCATTGATCACGTAATCCACGCTGGATCCTTATTCCTTCTTTACTTCTTTCCGCAGCTACATGATTTGCAGCATCAGAAGGTGGGTTGGGTCCATGTTGGGGATCGGGTTCGGGCTCGGGTTCGGGTTCTGATCGCCAGTTGTTGTGTTTGCCATGGCGTGTGTACAAAGACGATTGGAGACCGAGTTCTTTACTTGACGACAAGGAACTAAGAATGAACTATACTTACTAAGGAATGCCTATATATAGAACACACAACTATATCACATATCATAAACAACAGATCAACATATTCGTTCATTCTTCTCGAGCATTGATTTCTTGTGCGGCTGCATAACAAAATCGTAGTACTGTTTGCTCCAAGAACAGATATTTTGAGAAAGTACAGCGCGAACGATATCATACTCCTGAGTAATACTGACAACTAAACAAAGAACTGATACACAAAATTTGACCGAAAACGAGGAGTACTAACAAGGTTACTACGTTGTGAATTTAGGCTTAAAGACTTTTGGGACACTTTGTGTAGCAGGAGAACATTCTATGGAGATGGCAGTTCAAACACAGAGTGTCAAATGTCATGCGTGTCGCCGGTACTTTCTCTTTCTTTCGCTTTCGCCAGTATTCTCTCACCTCATTGGTTTACTTTAAACTTTGAACTTTTGATCATTGTGACTGCACTGACTAAGCTCATTTCTAACATCTAGTACACTTACCTATTCAACACCCAAAGAGGGTCGAAAGAAGAAGTAAAAAAACAGAACTTTTCGAAACCTTTACTCCCTTTTCGAATAAAAGCATCTGGTCTTTTTGTTAGAGAGTAACGCGTTAAACAGTAGGGATTTTATGAAAATTGTTGTTTAAAATTGGAAATAATTAATTCAGTGCTTCTTTGATCGATGTCCTTTTGGCTTTCTTTTACTTGCTGACGATCCACTCGACGTTTTAGATTCGCTTGTTGTTGAGGAAGTTTTAGCTTTTTTTGCCTTTCTTCCTTCATCCTGCAAGCACATCTTGAGTTGTCATGTGAGATAGCAAATTTTCGATGATTGAGAACACAAATGTACCGAAGATGAACGAAAGTTGGCAATATTGAAGTCAGAATGGCATATGATTGCTCGTTTTTAAGCGATGTTGCGTGTTTATAAAAATTTAAAGTATTCAACAATGTTAATATTTTTGGAGAAGGACTGAAATACATCTTTTTTTACTAAGGTTTAATGCCCCTCCATTAGAGCCTATTTTTGCAATGATTTAGTAGCAAACTTGGCAGCGTTTAGTTGCATATAATTGGAGGCTTCTAGTTTGACCAGGGAAGTCCCAAAACGCACTGGCTACTACGATTCAAGTGCAATTCACTCGCGTATTTATAAGCTGATAATCTACCTTCCTCATCTGCTAAGTGATTCTCTAGATTCTTTATTAGTAACATTAAAAGTTCAATCGGCAACTTTTTGGCGCCTACATCGCAAGAGCGATTGAAACATTCATTCTTGTTTCAAAAAGGGAAGGCCACCACAATCAACACCATGCCAATCATGCTCTTCATATCTAGACTTGGACAAGCCATAATGCATTGAAATGTCAGTGACATCAGATATCCTAGCGTTAATAACATTAGAGGGAACAACTATTCTGCAGAGGAAGGGTAGATATGATCAGCTTGTCAACACCTATTTTATAATATGCATCTTAATCCAAACCATCTTTCAATGTTTTTCTCCATAAATCAATAAGGGTACTTTTCCGTTATCCGGGCCCATTTCTTTAAAGAAGCATATTTCTCCTGGCTTTGTATCATATATGTTTCTAAGTTCACAGAAAGGAGAGTCAACCTCCTGCCACATGTGAAAAAAATTTGACATGTCATCTACATGACTGACAGGTTTTGCCAAGGGCTTGGGTCGCACTACTTAGCGACGTAAGTCCAATCTGCATATTAGTCAATGATGACCCATTTTCAGCTGAACAGTCTATGAAATGAACATTGTTAGCCAGCTCAAATGAGGAAGAAGATTTTGCGAATGCTACCTATGGACACTCTTGTCAAACCCGGACGATGCTGCTTACCCGCAACTACGTCTACAGGCCTCGTATGGAAGAAAGGACGTTAAGACTGTGGAACGCTGTCAGAATTGTCAATATGCCGCCAAGAATCTCGTAAAAGCTAAATCGTCCATTGCCGATTGCAACTCGCCCGATGGAATGCCTGCACATCGACTTCGTGGACTGCTTTACGGACACATTTACCTCGTTAGATGTCTACTCTTGTTGGCCCGAGATCATGGGAATGCAGCCCTACGTCACTAGCTACCATGTACTTTCGGAAGCGTTGCCAGCTACTACTGTGTTACACTGTATGCCCTACCCGTGTTCGCCTGACGATTCGCCCACAGAGATGCTTCTCGTACGGAGACTGAGTACTCCACTCTTACGTTTGGTCATCGTTGCTAGAACTGCCACACCAAGCTGCTCTCCCGGATCGAAACCCGCGATGGAAGCTCAGTACAACCGTTACCATGGAACCAAGAAGAAGAAATTTGAAGTGTACGATGCCGACTATCCCAGCCCGCGACTCTCGCAATCCATCGAAACACGACCTCAGGACATTCAGGTGTGTACGATCGAGAATTGGACGCTCACTGTACAACGTGGAAGTCGAAGGATTTTTATGGAGACGCCATACCAATCAACTACGTCCCATGCTGCTCCCGATGCCACCCGCACGCTGTTGGACAAATTCAATTCTCTAGACTTCCATCTTCCCAAAACGTCGACTTTCGTCGTAACCGTTGATGTTCCCGCATCCAATGACCAGAAAGCTAATTTCACCGACGGAATGCCGCCAACTCTTGATGCTCAGCCCAACCCCGATGACTTCCCCACTCCACCGTCGCCGTCTCATGTTCGCCGTCGTTCGCAGCGACTTCACCAACCATCACACCGTCTCGGAGTATCCGTCGATTGAGGGGGAGATGTTGGGGAGTATTTATTATATATTGTATTTGACTGGTATCGTTATCGTTTTCTGTTGTTTTCGATCCATGGTGTTGTGCCGCTAGTTTCAAACTCTGGTTCCCATGAGCTTTCCGCCTGTTCCAAGCCTTCCTAGGTACCGAGTGTACGTTCCCATTGTCGGGTGTATATATAGTTACCGTAACCGTTTGTTGATTATGCATTATTCCGATCGCTAGTAAACTGCTGAGATTCCACTGTGTCCGGTGCGACCCAATAAAACAAGGACTTTTATAATTGCTAATATTTTCGGCCATCTAAATAAGGAAAGTGCTTTCTTTAAACAGTTTATACAAAAACGGATTTGGGTAGGTGTACAGGCATTGCAGACCTACCTGCCGGGCTCGTGCACGGTCAGGCCGAATCGCGCAGGCAGGTCGCCTTGGGCGCCCGCGTCCGACAGGATTACGACTTTTACGGGCACAGTTACCCGAACGGAAGATTGATACATACCGCCCCTGGATTTGAAGTTGTAAAGAAGGGTTTGCTCTACGACGCCTTTTTTCACATTTCTCTCGATGACAAGATTTTTTTCCATTTAACAACTGCGCCCTTCCTTTGCACCAAGGAAATTGCGGATCTACAGCATATGCAACAATCTGCTATTACTTTGAAAAACGGCAGTGGCACACTCTAAACAGTTTTTGCTCTAAGCTTACGTGATTGAAAAGCCGGCACTCTGGCTCGGCTTAATGTTTCGAATTACGTACATTCTTTTTGTCTTTTGATCCATCATTTTTCGAAAACCTTTTTGAAACGTTGTAGAGGCTGCCTTCGACTAGGATCAGTAGCAGGAACGTAATAACGATCGTTTCTGGATGTGCAAAAAGTTTCGGAAAGAGTATTACCTTATCAAAAGCAAAGTTTGTTTCAGAAAGATAACGTGAATTTCCTACGAAACTACTGATCGAAGATTTTAGAAATCTGTGTGAGTCGATGAGGTCAGGTGGAAGACTATATGTCGCTTAATGTAGGGGGTCCATCGCGGATTTCTTGCGAAAACGCAACCCCATGCATGTGAAAAGGTGCGTATTTGTTCTAGTTGACCGCGGGGGCCGCCTCATTTCGGCGACATACCATTCCTCTATCCGCAGTCTAGTTTCAAAGCGGTTTTCACACTACTTTCAAAAATCACGTAACATCTGAGTAGCCTGACAAGAGAGTCAAATACTGAAGCGTGCGTAATAGCCATTATAAATAGGTCCTGAACAAATTAGTGAACAGATTTTCACGACAGGCAGTGAACCAAGGAAGACATCGAACAAAAAACAATGTACGCGTACTTTCGATAAAATAATATGAGAAGCATTTTGACATGCATGCGTCAAGAGTCTAATGGCGAAAAACTTCCGCATGTAATGTTTACATCACAACTAAGTTATGTTTGAAGTTAGGCTCATCCACCCACAAATGCCATGTTTGAAACGTTATTCAGATTACATGCATGTAAGTACGCATCTTGTAGCGAAACTGACTTAAATTATGTTTCTGTGACCATTTGAAGGCACCACCAAGATTCCCAAATTCCATGTTTTTGTCCTTTAAAGGCCTTCTGATGTCCCTGATTTGCAATGTGAAGTCGCGAATCAGTGAAGACTTGACACACCGAGATGGCGAACCCGCGGGCGGTTTATCCGAACGGTATTGAATGTTGAACGCGAATGGGCGTTTATCGGAAAGGGACGCTACCGCCTAGACGTTTTCGGCTCTATTAGCGGCCTTCATGCTTGTATCTATTTACTAGTTCTTCGTAAAGAATGCAAGAGTTGACTAATCTTGAGGTTCAGATATACCCATCAATCGTGTGAGAGGCCCGACGGAGTTTATATTTTCCTACCGAGTCTCCATTTTATTTCATGTCTTTCATATTTGGCTCAACCTCCATTTTCTGTGCTTATTTGACGGCGTCTTCTCAAGACAATAAAATTTTTTGAAAGACCCGCACATCATCATCATCTTATGTGTAGATGCTGATGTTTGATGCAGCCGCATCTCAATCGCTTCCAAGTGACATTAAATTTCAACAGAATACTAACAATTTATGGCGATGATTAATGCAGTGTAAATCTGAACAGCTTACTCTTTTCTTACTGTTTATGCAGCACCAAAGAGCTATACAGGAAAGAACTACTATTACACCAGCAATAATGAAGCACACAAGATAAGAAAGAGAAGTAAAACCTGTAAAAACCAACGGAGATTATTTTCAAAATGTTTATTGCATACCATAACACTTTTCTTCTGTGCGCTCGTAAACATTACGATTGTCCTTAAGCGTAGCGTTTACTGCAAAGTAATAGCAACCCAAATAAAAAAGAAGTGCTGGAGAGAGCTGAAAATTACACTTCAAGTTAAATTTGCCTGATAGAACTTAGGACTGAAAAAAGTTTTGCGGTACAGACAACTTGCGAAATTGTGAGTGTTGAGGTGCCTCGAAATATATATTATTACATTTATATATATTTGTTTATATGTTTATATTATATGTTATTAGATGGGTCCAAAAGTTCGTGCCGTTTTTAGACCTATACTGAAATCGTTTAAAGACGGTCACATTGTTCAAACACTATCCGATAGAATCTCTTCCTCTTTCAAGCAGCTGTGCTTACATTGTGACTGTTTCGATGAGCGTTGAGATAATGCCGAAAACTAGAACCCTTCATTTTTATCACGCCTGTTTCCGCTGATTTTCAGAAAAATTTTAGACTTTGAAGGTGCTTGAATAACCACCTGATAAGACAAACCTTTTTAAAAATAATGCAATTCTTGCATCTCTCTAGCATGCTTACTAGAACATGTTTTCTTACGTGACCAATTTCTATGTCCATTCAATGCATCTTTCTCTCCTCTTTCTGACAACTACCTTTTCTTCGCGAAACATGCGACTTTTGCAGATAAAATCGCTGTGATTCCCTATTTCATGGGTGCGCAAGATTATAGTGGAAATTCCAAAATCTGTCCATTTTCACGCCGTAATCGCTCATTTACTTCGTAATACTAGCGGTAGTATTAACCGAGTTTAAGGATTACAATGAGGATTTCGCATTGTTTGGTGCGTTTAGTGTCACGCGTTTTTTCAAAATTTAATGCTCTGGCAAAACAATTCAGCAAAATTCCAAAGAGGAAGCTAAAAAGTGCAAAAAATTGCATTGATTTGAAAAACGTTTGTGTTATCAGATGGTTATTAAAGCGCCTTCAAATGTCTATAATGAAAAATTTGACATTTAGCGAAATTCAGACATAATAAAAATGAAGCGTTCTATCGAGCACAAGTCTAAAAACGGCACGAACTTCTGGATCCACCTAATATATTATATTTCCCATGTCAATCAACAGACAATGTTCTTTGTTTGCCAAAATTACCTGCATATTAACAAGGATTATGTTCAAAATCAAATGTAAAAATAGATGGGACAGCGCTGTGCTAGTACTGCGTCTTGGCACCAATACAGGTCAAGCAACTTTGAGCGGAGCCTCAGTAAAATAAAATGTTTGTTGTACATTTCGATAGTATACAGTCATGTATGCGGTGCGCTCACATTCCGCGGATTAGCAAGGAACTCAGACAATTACAGGCTTTCAGCCGGCAGCCACAAAGCCACCGCGCAAACCCACCAAAAGCGCGGTGGCTTTGTGGCTGCCGGCTGAGAGCCTGTGATTGTCTGAGAAGGTATAGCAAAGGGTTGAAGTTGTTAGAAAGAGATCTATGTTACAAAACATCCTGTTATTTGACACCCGAATTTCGAGTAATGTGTAGAAGGTTCATAGATGTCCTTCCACTCTCGAGCCCCGCTTTGAGGAGAAAACCAGGATTAGCGGGAACAAAGAGGTAATGTGAGCAGCATTAGGAGAATTTAGCTAGAAATTTTGAAAAAATGAATCCAGAAGTTAGTTGTGGCTTGTCGAGCTGTGCATCGGCATTGGTATCTCTTCATTCGACTAACATTTTGGCTATATGTCTTCAGTATGAAATTGTCGAATGCAAAAGTAACATATCGTAACAAAAACCGTCCTGAGACTCAGGAAGAGACCAATGTGTTAGCAAAACAGGAATTTCTAAATACGGGATCAAACTGATGCTTAAAGGCACCGTCCACCCTAAGTTGAGGGTGTTGAGCTTTTGGCAGCATTTAACACTAGGGCCTCCTATCAAGCCAATGCCCAAGTGACGGAGCAAAATGCCGCTTCGAAAGCGAGAAAATCGCTTCGGAATAGCGAAGACGCACAAGGACCCCAATTCATGCCCGCCCCTCCCCATCCATGCCCGCCCATTTGTGCGCGCTCTCCAATCACCGTTCTAAAAAGCCGGCCTGTGGTTTCTCCGGAATGGGGATTGTTGGGGTTTTCGCGGATTCTCGACTTCATATTTGAAAACAGGGACATGACAAAGGCCTAAAACGACAAAAAGCTGGAAGTCGAGAATCTGGGCGAACGGTGCCTTTAGCCTAAGTAGAAGTCGACAAAATGGTTTGCAAACTATCATACCAGTAAGTGAGCTCTAACTTCTTTATATACCCAGTGAGTTGGCCTAAACTTGACCTCAGAACGACAAAGGCTCTGATATGGCGCCAACTCGTTAATGATGTTTGTGCACTACACGGTGGTCCACATGAAATGTGACGCACAAAAGCTTCTTAACTTTGCTAGGACTCAATAATCCACCCTCGGCTTTGCTGAAAGAATTTATTCTGCTTGAAAAAATTCAAAATGCGCGCAATGGTTTTTGGCGGAACTTTGTCCTAGGATCTCCTTTTAGTAAATCCAATGAAATGGATCTGGAAGAGAGAGCATTTTGCCCACAGATAGGCTAGGAAGAGAGTGGGTTTAGAAATGTTTGAGTGGGAAGCCCAAACACGTTCTTATACGTGGCCCACACAATGTTTGACGGGCTCCAAAAATTCATTCTTAAGTCTTTTTCATTTCATGTTTTGATGATAGTCGTCTTCTCCTTATTTTGTTTTGTTGTGCTTGTTCCCGACTTCGATTCTCGGTAAACCTGGTTAAACTTGAAGATTTAACAAAGGCAGTCGCCGTCGCAATGAAAACCGCAGTTATTCGAGATTTTGAAAAACATCGAAAGCAAACTTTGGAGGACTGTGGCACTTTCTTGGATCAAAGGAAACACTATAGGCTCCTTTGGGAGTGTTTTTCGTGACTAGACACCAATCCACAGAGGAAAGAAGAAACTGCAGTTGCGTAAAATCCATCTTTGGACACTGGAAAAAATTATATTTGGCCCGCTAGCTCGCCTATCTTGAACCCGCAAACTTCTTTTCTGTCTCTCTGAAAGGAAAAAGTCTGCCCTTCGAAATCCATGTCATTTGATTTTCTAAAAGAAACCTAGGGAGAGTTTGGATAAATCACTGCGCGCAAATCGAAGAATTTTTGGAAGAGGCTTGCAGGAAAAAAACGATTTTTAAAAAAGCAGGGACAAATATCTCAAAAGTTAGTTAAAAGTTTTTATACAGAATTCTCTTCTCCATTAGACAAGGACAAAAGCTTCTGATTTTATTCAGTCCTTGCAAAATTATAATATTTTCTTCTCGTGTCACACTTCATGTGGACCACCCTGTATACCTGGGTCCGAATTGATTAGAAATTCGATCTTTGGATGAAACACTGAATGTATTCGCATTCAGTTCGAAACTTGAGTTTTCCGTTTTCGAATAATATTGGAAAACTTCGAACAATCAAAGCGGTTTCGAATAAAATTCGAAACACGAATGATCATACGGGGTTTCAAATGAACTTTACTCAAATGTTTTCATTCAAATCAATAATCTGAAATCCGTATTCGCATTATTTGACTGTGCAGAGCCATTTGTGATTCATCAAGCTTGCTTAGTTTGCGATCTTTTCTCCAAAACTCAAAAAAGCGTCTTTTCAAAGCCGTGATCAGCTCTAAAGTGTATGTTTGAAATAGTAAACAAGAAAACAGCCCAAAAGGCTAAGAAACGATCATAGAAAATTTCACAAAAGAAGTCCAATCTCAGCGATTAGGTGACGTCGCTTATTTGAAGTCAGCGACGCGTTACCGCTGAGATTCGGGCAAATCGCGACGATTTCAGTGAAGGAAGTATGCCGGGGGAAAAATGGTTAGCAACTAGTCGCCGAATAACTACGACAACCGAATGACAAAATGATCAACATGCAATGGACTCGTAACAGTTGTCTTGTCGGGAAAACGCGAGGCGACGAAATTGCGTGATGTATGCCCTCCCCTTTAGACCATTCACCTATGTTTGTAGATCGCCTGCACGAAACGCGCGTTGACTAAGGATGCGTGGCAAAGTACTTCCGCGTAACTTTGCTTTACACGAACGTTTCTTACAATAACTCCATGCAAACTACACTTGGGCTACTTCAGGAACATCAGCCTTCGCAAATCTTCATGGTTTTAGCATCAAAGAGATCATATTACTTTTAAAGGAGCGTCTTTGATGTGCAGTCTTTCGTTGATGTAGTCAATGACAAGCAGATTAGCGGACTCGTTATGGACCAGCATTCAGCACTAGCATTTGCTATAGTCTTCATGTCCAAGATAATATTTTCCGGTAATCGCGCAAAACCGCTCTTGTACTGCCGCCAATGGACGACTTTATAAGTTTGCCCCATTCAAGAAGAGCTGTATTTTTTAGCATCTGCAACAGCAGTTTCGTCACACTGAAATGACACGGAAAAAGCCCAATAAGCTGCCATTCTAGAATTCAAAATGCAGCTATCGAAAAATGGTTGGAGAACAATTTGGTATCGCAGGCACAGCAGCAGGAAAGTCCTGATTAATTGCATTTCGACGCACACCACACAAGTAGGAAATCTGTCGCAAATATGTACACTACAGCTGTCAGGGTTTTCTTTGACGTCAACAAAAGGCCTACTCTGCCGTAGCAAACCGAATAGCAGATCTACTTATAGGGTTCTTCTAGGCACACTTCTTGAGGAGCTGAGCAAGACGGTCAGAAAGTTAGTACACCAAGCAGACCTGCAGGGCTGATAATACCTTAAACAACAACCTCGTACGTAATGAAACATATGATAGGATTTGAATGACTTGGAATGCATAATGCGCCCTAAGGGCAAGGAAGGCGATGCACGGTAATGGAAGTAGTGTACCTTATCACTTGCCAAACATGGAGGCACATAGCTTCATGACGGCGCAGACACTTGCGTGGAGGTCATGATCTTAGTACGTGCATCAGAAATCCTGGTGCGCAAGACTTTGAGAGCGTCTTAGATTGCCCTCAAAAATCCAAATTTGAACTGAAAGAATGAGTGCCTAACCCTTATCAAAAAAATTTCCGTCTTTTGAGGTTGTGAGGCCACTTTGTTAGGTGTATAAAGAAGTTCGAGCTCACTGACTGGTATAGTGATTGCAAACCACTTTATCGTCTTTGTTCTTAGTTGAATGCTGTATCTTTAGGTTTCATGTTTTAGTAACGCAATGAGAGTCTTTTGAGTCTTGAGGCGGTTTCTGATAGGATAAACTCGTGCATAGGACGATTTCAAACTATGACGAACGCGTTTAGCTTTAGCCGAAAGTGTGAATAAATATATATTGATTCCGGTGCATAGCACGACAAGCCCCAAAAAGCAACTCCAACACTTCGAGATTAAGCGTCAAAAATGAACAATCCAGAAAGCAATGGTATAAAATAAAAGCAAAATAAGTTTTTTTTGAACATTACTTGGACTGGATTCAAACTTCAAGAAGAGCAAATGAGCAAGAAGTCTTAATCACAGAGCAGTTTCTTTAAAGAATTTAGCTGACTGCACATTACCGCCGTTGTCTCCATTCTCAGCGCATCTTCATGTTCGCGCTAGCGGAATGATCAGGGCAAAAAAACTGTCAGAAAAATCCAGCTTCGAACTTCTTTCTTCATACGGTTTTCTGCTGTATATTGACATTATGGTTGAAAGACCAAGAAAATTGGTCTTTGTGCAGAAGCAAGAAACCATTTTTAGTCTATTTTCGAAATTCTGACCAAAAATTGTTCAATTAATGTAATTTCAATTATTAAAGCCTTTTTGAACTTTACATCATTTTTCTCCCCATGTTTTCAATGTATAAGAATGGCTCTCATTTGTGCAAAAAATAGTTCTCAACAGCAAACGCCAGTGGAATGCTTCATCTCTAAACAGTCGGTATTTTCTTACGCTTGCCACACGCAGCTGAAATATTTGAAAAACACTCTACCCCTATAGTAAATTGATCGGATTTTGGATCAATGGAAAGAACTTTTCTTGTGTAATCCTGTGCACTTGTCTCCTAAAGTAATGCTGCAAATATGTGACCTTAGACCTTAGACAGAGCTTGCTTACCTTCGTAAACTGAAGCAGCTCAAATCTTTTTATTAGGTTCAGGTCATAAGTTTTCCCATCTGCAGATTTGAATTTCCATACCAACACCAACTTGAAGCCATCATTGACGTTCAACTCCACTATTGGGCCATCATCCTAGATAGTATCAGCAGTTATCTGCTTAACAGGACTGTCCAAAAATGTTTGAAGGCTATGATAAGTCGAATGATATGAGATTGTCAGGAGCTTAGATCTTCCTGGTCTCTGCCGCTGCTACACAGCTATTGAACTACAATTAGGCCAATTCCTTGCCATTCAAATTAATCCCTTTGTCGTTTGAAGGCAACCTGCATATGCTTTTCCAACACCAAATCTGCTCTACAGGATATAGGTGTAAAGTTACACAGCATATGCTTTGAACTTCTCTTTAACCCCTTCGCTCTGATTAAAGCACGTCTATGCAAGAGTTTTCTGAAGTCGTACTATGCCACCGCTTAGAATCAAAGTGATTTTCAGGAACGCAAAATTACCTACAGGGCTAAGGGTTCATGTGTGCATATGTGTATGTGTATGTGTATATGTACGTGTATGTGTATGTGTATGAGCATGTGCATATGTATCTGTCTGCCACTAAATTAGTGACAGACAGAGATTACATATAGGTGGCACGTAAAAGCTGAATGTTTATTTGGTCATATTTATGCATTTGTGCGGAATAGAGATTTCCACTTCTATACCGATCGGGATCAAAACTTGCAAACAACCTGGAATAAGGCGGATGTTATAGGCTAGTACTCGTTATCGAGTGACATCGCCCTCATCAATTTATGCAAACTTCAAGCAGCTTGGGAAAAGAATCAAGAATCAATATAACAACCAAACAGTCTGAACTAGCTGAATCAGAAATGAAGTTTGCACCCTTCGCTTGCTTCTGATTCACAAGTGATCATCATTTTAGCCCTTTAAAACCTTATTAGCATGAAGTCCATTTCAAAAACCTAAAGTAATCCACAGCAACAAAAATCCAACAAAGGATACTAACTTAGTCTGGCCTTTCAAAAAAGAGAAATGTATAACATTTCGAATTCAGCCCATAACTTTGATCATAAAACTCTGTTCCTGGGCACTGAGCTCATTCTGACTGTGAGCAAATCATTGTTTTGTGCGTATTTATCGTTTATAGAAAAGATCAGGTTAATCTGATGCAAGTCGATATCCCAATACCTTTACTGGCCAAATTTTTCTAGTGTCAGTCTTTTCATATTCAGTATGCCGATTTTTCACAAAATATATTACAACTCGCCGAAGAATGACGCTCAGCTGCCCAAAAGCAAATTTTTTGAACGTTTCAAGGTGGCAAGGGAAGTGTTGCAATCAAAGATGGCCTTTCCATGAAATTCATAATGCATGTAGATCCTTGAGCCTGATTTCGGTCTGTTGTTGGTTCTGCTGCTTGCCTTTGGACGCCGGTTTAAGCATTTTTGGAGCGAAATCAACGCAGAATTTAAAGAAAATTAGACATTCTAAAGCAGAAATAGTACCCTTTCAAGCACAACTTCACCAACAAAAAGTATTTGTTGCATAGGCTATCTCGAAATCCATTGGAATATTCGAGCAATTTTGTATTGTTTTGATTCACTCAAGCACTCAATTCCTTGGCCCATAATACGCCAACAGCCGGTGCCCAGAGGTTCACAGCAGTGAGCGACAGATTCTGAGCCACAGTTAAAGGCAGTATCCCCGCAGATTTTGCATTACCCTCCTTTTGCATGTTTTCGGCCTTTTCGACCCGTAGGCCCCTAATTTGAGCTTTGAAACGAGTGAAAAGACCTGTTTCGGTGTGTTTACCCTATTCTCAAATGGCAGCTCGGAAGAGGATTATAATGGGAAATTGGGGGGGGGGGGCTTGGCAAGAGGCCCCTGCTGCCTGTAATTTTTGCTTTGGACAGCATGCGCAATGCGGGAGAGCAGTCGTGTGGTCCCGCGCCGAACGGCAAGCGAAGTCGTCCGAGCGCGCGTTGATTGGAGTTGCGCGTGCCGGTTCAAGGGCTATTTTCTTGGCCCAGGGAAACATCAACCAGCCGGAATGCGCCTGGAGATGACAAGGATGACCGGGAAACCCACACAGCAATATCCCCCAGGGCGCGACTCTGCCGGAACGGGAACACTGCCTTCAAGTACTCTACAAAATGGCATAGATTTCATGCGCACAGGCAACTTCGACTGAAAAGTCTTTCCTTGTAAGTTCATATGTTCATGTCACTTCTTATGAGGTCACCTAAATATCCTCCCCAAGACAACTTTTGTTTGTCTCTTCTCTAAAGACATAAAAATTATGCTCAATGTTCGCAAAATATTAAGAAAGGGTTCCAATAATGCTCAGACAGTATGTTCATATTTTCTCATGTTAGCTGTAGTCGATTGATTTGCGCATTGATTACGCATTGATTACCCCAGGTTGATACGATTGTTGTGTTAGATTATTCGGAAATTTGTCGCATCATTGACTATCAAGCAATATCGCGGCATGTTTGACAGGAACAAAAGTCAAAGAGGTACTGTTCGATAGAGCAAAGTAAGCTCTACACAATAAAGCTGAATATTTGCAACAAGCTTGTTATAGATGTATGAAGCAAATATTGCAAGGCTGTATGCCTGGAAAGTTAAAAGTATCACAGTCTAAAGAAAATCTTAAAGACCCCATCTATAACAGACACGCAAAGTTTCGTGGTTTTTCCATGGGTAGATGTCAAGAAAACGGAATTTGAGATGCTTCCTTTAATAAGCAATACTGAGCTTCTTCGAGAATTATCTCCACATAATGGAGCGCAGGCGATGACTCATGCGTGCGGGGTATTCTACCCTCCCTCTACCCCCTATCAGCGATGCCGGTGAGGGTAAGCAGTCTAGAGTTGTTGCCCTCTGGAGCTCGGCTGCCGGTATAAGGCCTCGGGCAAAGTTCACGCAATTTGATCGTCGTGATTCAATCGCTAAAGACAAATGTCACGATTCATTGCGTGCCGATTTTCTCGCATTTCGGTTGTGATAGTTTTCCAACACGACTAATCGTGACTAACTATCACAACTGATATGCAATAAGATCGGCATGCAATGAACTCGTAATACTTGTCTTTAGCGATTGAATCGCGACGACCAAATCGCGTGAACTGCCCGCGGCCTAAGGGAAACAATCTATAGAGTCGCTGCCTGAATGCCCATAATATCAGAATAGTTTTTTTGTCATGGCCAATGTTTGTGTTTTTGTTTTACCTATCATCTCACTGACGAGCTCATTCTTCAAGTAGAGGTGGTACCGCATTTCTCTTTCATAGACGTCAGCAAATGACTACGTTATCATGTCCGCATTTGCAGCCTTATTTTGTTTATCTTTACAAGTAGTCACTCTATAGCAGGAAGCTAAGTTCTTAAAGCATCTCTTTTTCCCACAAAATCTGTCGTGTAGCCCTATGCCATATAGCGCTTCAAGAAATGGTGCTTTGTTTTCTTAAAAGCATCTCCTTTTTACCGCTGTGGCCGTATAGCTCCTAACCTAAACCATCCTACTAAACGCGCTAAGAGTGTTTAATTGTTTTTGTGTGTGTGTCTGTCTAAATGTCTGTCTGTCACGAAATTCATAGAACGAGTTCAAGCAAAGGTCTTGAGCTGGAATTACGGTAGTAGCACCCTATCAGCATGTAAGTGAAGTGTGCAAAAGCACAAGCCGATCCGATAAGGGGACATGTGAAAACTGTGCGCCAAACGGATCGACACGACTTCTGGCGCGCCAAAGTGGGCCTGTAAGTAGATTTTTTCCAAAATCGTGGATTTATCTAACAAGTGGCTCCGCAGACCATGGACTCTAGTCCGAAACTGAGCAAAAAATCTACTTTCACGCCAAATCGCTGCCAAAAAGGAATAATTGCGTAGATAGTTGATTTGTCAAGATTTTACCCGAGAATTCAAGAAGATTTTTGCTTGGGATGTAACCCACGGTTGTCGTCATTCTTATGCCGACTATCAAGCCATCATAACTCCAGTAAGTCATTCAAACCCACAATTAATTTTTTGGAGAGTTGTTTCTTCCTCTCAAAGTCATTGATCTTACATAAAAAAAGTTTTTGAAATGAGTAGTTGTTTATAATTCAATCCTGATGATCGGCATCGCGCGGTATGTTTCAAAGACATCATTTTACGACTTTGAGGAAGGCACGTGGATAGTAGGACCAGCGCGAGCCTCTGCGAAGCAGAGGTGACGCACTGTTCTCTTATATAGTGACAATCAATCTGATTTTCAACCTATAAAGTCGCTACAGGAGAAGATGGAGGCTTACTGTCACTCAGGCTGGGTATGCATGCACTTTCAACATCTCCAATACATAAAAGATAAAGAGTGTGGTACGCTTGTTCTAAAAAGAAAAGCAGCTAGCAATTGTGGATACTTTGTAGGAGAGCCCTCCTAAAGGCAGTGTCCGGGCAAAAAGTCGACTTTGAGATTTTGTGCTTATTCGAGCCTATTCGTCATGCTGAATCTAAAAATGCAAATTGAAGGTGCAAAAACGGCGAAAACCGGCTCTAACACAAGATGGAAATCAGCAGTTGGGCCAGGTCTTCCTCTGTGAATTCACGCTCCCAGCTTCCGGAGCGGTCTTCTCGATTCCGCTAGCTTTCCTGCATCGCCACCAACAAGCGAACGACTGACCTGAAACAGGAAGCGAGAAGATCGCTCTGGAAGCTGAGAGCGCCCGCCCACCTGCTAATTCCCTTCTATGTTAGAGCCGTTTTTCGCCGTTTTTGCACACTTCAGGGTGCATTTTCGGATTGAGCATAGCGAATAGGCCCGGATAAGCACAAAATCTCGAAATCGACTTTCTGCCCGGACACTGCCTTTGAAAGCAAGCCGAGGACACTTTCGTTAGAGAAACTTTGAGTGCAGGGAGTGAAAGGTGTGGGAGGGGTGAAAGATGCAATCTGGCAAAAAGAACAATTCATTTTGAGAATTTGATGTATTAAAAACCAGCGAGCTATCGCTCGTGGGCATGTTTGCTGAGTGAAGTTTGAAGGGCAGGAGAACGTTCCCATATTTTTTTAGAAAGTCATCTGGGAGAAATTGATAAGAAATAGCTGAAAGAGATGAAAGGTAGAGTTTGGAAAATTTGTAGGAAGTGGAAGGGGTGAATGCATAGTACGGTTGGATGCGGTCGTAGAGGCTGAGTATGCATTTTTAGGATAGCTTGATGTAAAAACACAAAAGGAGGACTACGGTCGTATATGTACTTTCAAAAAAAGCAAAAGCTATAACAGTCATGGGCGTTTTGCTAGCCTCTGATAGTGAGAGAGGGGAAACAGAGGAGGGGGAGGGGTATATCGCTTTAAGTGCTATCCGACAAGAGAAATTTTCATTTTCAAACATTTGGCCAAAAGCAAGCATGCCAAGAAATCATTTCAAGTGCTCAAAGCAGTTCGTCATTTTACACACTGCAAGCTAACTTCATCTTCAGAACTAGCGCAACATAAAATAAATCCTTTTTTGCGACACCTATATACATATCGTCTTCTCTCTTGTCTCCGACGAGCGAAATCGTTGGGGTGCTAAAAGAGTTCTTGTTGTTCACTCACATTAAAAGTTCGCGAAACATAAACCGATATTTCTGGCTAGAAGACATTTCGCTACTTTTATACACTCCCAGTCCACATGCCAGACCAAAATGCACGAAGCGGCACTTGTGTCTGGTTGTACCGTATACGTTTAAAAGTACTGAGTTTGAAATGACAAAACTTGAGCAACCAAAACAAATAACAAACAACCTCAAATCCTGTACAGTGAAGTTAGGCAAACACTCCAATACGTATTCAGTGCAAAACTTCTTCCTCTTTCCAGCTGATCATTATGTGGTTTGATGAAAGAGGTAAGATTATCGCTGGAAACTACAACCCTTCGTTTTCACCATGTCCAACTTTCGCTAATTTACAAAATTGCTATATAAAACTTTTGGGAGCTTCAATAACCACAGATAGGGCAAACCTTTTACTAAATGGAGTTTTTTTTTTCTTTTCCCAGCTACTTTTCTTAGAATTTTTGAAGATAATTTTTCAAAAGCGTTGAGTTTTGGAGTCATCGCATAACCTGTTATTGCATCAAACACTGTAAAATCTTCGGAACAACGAGGTTTCAAAACGCGATTATTACTATCGCTATCCCCTTACAAAGTAAGTGAGAGGTTTTCACTTCGAAATAATAAGTTTTTGGAACCTAGGGCAGGTCAGTGCGCGCTCTTAAAGTATAAACATACTGCGATTTTCCCCGCATCGCGTATCTCAGCAAAGAAGATAATCTTTAAGAAGAGGAGAAAGAGTTGCATCAAATGGCACCTGAAATATTTACCATTTCATGTTCTACGAGGTTAGACTTGGCGGAATGTAAAATTTGTGGCTTCAAAAAATATATATTACAAAAATTCTGAAAGGCAAGCCACAGAGCTACCAAAAATTGCTGCAGTTGGCATAAGTTTGCCCTTATGAAAGCTCCCCAAATGTCTCGTATATCAATTTCAAAAATTAGCGAAAGTTGGACATGATGAAAACGAAGGGTTGTAATTTCCAGCGACTATCATATTCCTCTTTCAGCGATCCACATAATGAAAAAGCAGCTGAAAGAGGAAGAAATTCCTGCTTTGGATACAATCTGAAATGTTTGTTTATTTTCACTGTACGAGAGGATCATTTCAAGAATTTGACAGAACTTTCGGATCGATCTGATATTACTTAATGTTCAACTTTCTAAAAGGTCTAGTTTTTGAGAAGCATTACATGTAAACAAGAAACCCAAAAAATGCGACGTATTAGTACTTTTGAACTATTCTTGCTTCTCCTATTTTAGCTATGCAAAGTTCGACAAACTATACACGTGAATGGATTATTGAATTTATCGTTATGTGGATTTCTTACAGGCAGCACATAAAAAAAGCACAGAAATGATCTTGTTATAGTGTCATTGCGGCTTGCGAACTGCCTTCCGAGCTTGAATCAATTACCGTAATCCTCGTTATCACTCTACCTCGGTTAAATATTGAGCTGTCTCGTCATTTGAGTAAAAATACTTCAACTGCTAATTCACAGGCTGTGACGAAGGCAACGCCAAAAGTTAGCCAATAAAGAAAAGATAAAAACTTTGGTCGTCGCTGAAACATGAATGCATCATAAGATTCAGAACCACCCGAATTTGAAATATCCTTGGAGCGTTACTCACTTTAAAATACGTGATTTCGAATTGTTGCGACAGAAAGCTACTTATTGTGTAATGAGTCTAGCGACTGGGTGAGCTAGATTAAGCTGTGCTGGCAGCTAAATTAGATGTATCGTTAGTTCCTCGGCTAAATTAGTGGGGTGCCGGTGGGGGGGGGGGGGGGGGGGGGCTTAGCGTTTGCCGCTAAATTACAGGTGCAAAGTTGTCACTCTGGCTGGCTCAACGCCCCTCCTCCCCCTCCCCTCATATCAACGGTCATCTTGATACATCTTCCTATGGTCATGCCAGAGCAATAAAGCTTACCTTGTGTCTCAGAAAATACGATGGCTAGGAGTGAACTGGCATGAATAAGCCTCTGCTGTTACAGGACGTACAGTTGGTTGTGAGGAAAGTGGGGCGGGCAGTATGAAACAGAGGAATGAAAATGAAGTAGGAATGAAAGGGGCTGAAGCGGGAGGAAGTGGGTGAGTACCAACATGCTCTTGAGGTAGTAGTATTATGCGAGAAAATAATGTCTGTTGATTGCAATTGCAATTAATCAACAACCGACATTATTTTCTTGCCTAATACTTCTTTTATAACAATTTGCTCAGAATGATTTGTTTGCCTTTGAATCAATTTTCTCGGATGAGACAGGGACTATCAACTAGTACTATTTAACAAGTTTCTTCTGCTTACTTTAGCCAAAGGCTTCGTTGTTTTTTTCTTGGCTTCCGTTGTTGTTTTTGCAGTTGTTGCAGGAAATTCGATAGTAGTCCAGTCGCTTGATGGTCCAAATCCGATGCTGGTAGAGCACGCTACCCTTGCTTGATAAATTTCTAGGCGAGTATACATTAGTTATCCTGAGTGCTGCAATACTACAAGTCATCCACCCACTTGATGCGGATAGGCTTTCAAACTTCACTTCTCCAACGCGTGGTGGAGCGCTGACTGAAGTGCACTCTCGTAATCTTTGTTTCTCACAGACTTCCACCTGAAACCTTCAGTCTTTTTTATCAAGAATTGCGTATTACAGTCCACTATGAGCTCGATCAAAACTTAATTACCATAAATTAGTAACGAAAGTTTCATTTTCTTGTCACGACGTTTAGAACAGCAGTAGACCTTTGTTTAATCAAAATTTCCATGCGGTAATTACAGAACTTTATTGTGTTAAAGTATCAAGCTGTTGTCATAAATTTAAAAGTGTTTGATCTTTATGTAAAAGTTCTAATTTGTTGCGTTAATTAAGTGCATGACGTGGCTATTGGCTGCCTACTTTGCCACTTCCGGAGCGGATTTCTCGCTCCAGAAGCAGTCTTTTGCGGCGAAACTTGGGAGTTTGCCTAGTGTGGGGGCACAGACTAGTATGTCACCATAATCTCGCCAACCTGTATTTTGGGTGGACGTTTAAGGGCCGCATGCACCAGCGGGAGGGGGTCACATCTTCAGAAGAAAGCTTCATTTTTTGAAGCTCCAGATATCCTGAATTTCACCCGTCTACTTACCCATACTCAAACAATTATGGCGAGCACCCGCCGCCCACCCACGCTCATCTCGAGGGCGAGCCGGTAAGTGTCCAATAGGCGCCCGAATAATACCATTGGATGGCCCGACAAGCGACCGATAAAAGAGCGATTCGCACCCGCGGGTGGCCCGATATACACCCTGTACTCGAATTAGGAAAAATTTTGGGAAGCCGTCTTTACTTCCGGTTTAAAATAAATGCCACAATCTATAGGGCTTATCAAATTGAGTGTCGTTCGCACCAGCATCTCCATCTTCGCGCTGGGCTCTGCGTCTTTTCTGCGGTACATGCCCTCTAATCACTTCCAATCGATTGATGTTCCGCCTTTCCCACGCTCGCCCTGGGAAAGTGCTCAGAGAGCAGCCCTGCGGAAGAGACGCAAAGTCCAGCGCGAAGATGGAGATGCCGGTGCAAACGACACTCAATTTGATAAGCCCTATACACAAAAATACAGAGTGACGTTCACACCCCTCCCCATCGACGCTCCAATGTATAACCACAATTGAGGGCTCCAGTTATATCATCCAAGAGACTTTCGATGACCAGCTTGGCTTGTCCTTGCGATTTAATGTGGAGGATAACTCTATCACTGCGCCGTATCTCACGCAAGTAACATTTCCTCTTACAGCGTGAGGAACTGCGGCATCAAGCAAGGCCCGGGGCTCGCCAGATTCGTTCTATCGAGTCGTGGCCTAGAGGGCCGAGGCTTGCCCGAAAACTACATATGCAGGGAGTCATGTAATGGTCGAGGCTCACCTGTGTGGTTTTTCTTGGGCCGCGGGTGTTCCGATAAAATATTTGCCCGCGGCCTTTCCGTAATGATAACATCGGGCCGCGGATCGCCAGCAAATAACTCTAGGGCCGCGGATGGTCAGTGCAAGAATTTGACGCCCGCGCGCCGCCGAAGGACACGGTTAGTGGCCGCGGGTGCTCGCAATAAATGTCTGAGTAAGTATTCTTACGATCCTTTACTATAAACTTATTGAACAAGAGCGATAAGCTGTACAAGCCACATCGGGCTTTTGTATGATCCCCTGATGATGGACTGCGGCAGGACGTCTTTTGTTCAAAGTCATTTTTCTTCCTTGAAAGTTAACAAAAACCTTCCCAAGTTGTACTGTTTATCTAATCCAATAGTGCTAAGCCTATTGCTGATGAGAACAAGTGAGTTTCTTGGAATATCGATTTTTCGATAAACCCCAACTTTCGACTTGTGGTTCATCGCAAATTTCATGACTTCGAAACATCACTCGTATTACCAGAAACATGATTAGCACTGTTGGGTTAGATAATCAATACAACCTTTCGTAAACTTTAAAGGAAGAAAAATGTCTTTAAACAAAAGACGTCCGGCCGTGGGACAAAAAGCCGCAAAATGCGGCTTGTACAGCTTCTTGTTTCCAATTCAAGATGTTCCTTGTGAAAGGTAGTGAGAGTACTTACGGATAGGTAGACAGCATGAAATCCAAATATTCAGAGCTTCAGGATATGAAGCTTTCTTCTAAAGCTGCGATCCCCTCCCGGCGGGGATGTTAATGTATGCGGCCCTAAGTGCGCCTAGGCAACCTCAACAAAGCAGTACAAGTCTATGATAGTTACTAGACATTCGCATAAATCCTGTTCCTAGACTGAAAGAAATACAGACGTGCTTCCGCAAAATTTGGATCTCCTCAAGGACTTGTAGACCTTTGTTTGCACACATGCCCAAAGCTGAGTGCGACATTGGATTGCACTTCTTCTGGTAGTTAGAGATCAAGAAAAAACAAGTACAAAATGGCAAATGCAATTATGTATTCCGCTCATATTTTCATTTCATTAACACATTGACGACAATGTGGCCTACATGGTGGGTCATGCAATACTGTGATTTCAGAAGTTCTGTTATGCTTTATTCCTAGAAATTACTTCCGCGTTTCTTAACTGCTTTCAGAATCACTGTAGGGATACTGCAGATGACGGCCTGCTTGATTTCAGCTAAAAATACTCAACTTATTGTAGAAGGCATTGTCCCACAAGGCAGACAGCTAAAAATGCACGCTGTCGTCAACGTGTTAATGGATAAACTTGAATCTAATCCTTTATTTGCCGAAGTTTTTGAAACAATTACCTGGTTACCAAAACTATCATCGAAGGATCCAGTCAGTAATAAGTGAAATATCGTTGAGAAACGCGTAATATCCTTACCTTGCAACCCTTGTCTTCGCCATAAAGCTGAATGTTTGGAATTGGATCAAACTTGACGTAGACTTGGTTGTATGCATAAACCTGCACAATTACTCCAGTGGGAGAGACGTCGGGTACTGAAAAGCAATTTATTATTATAATCTGCTAGAAAACACAGCTACCTAGATTGCTCAATGAAGAAATTAGACACTGTTATGGCGAGCACATCTGCGTTTACTGTTGGCAGTATAGATAAGGATAACTTATAGGCCCGTAGTAAAGCTCGATCAGTTGAGGTGAACTCAATTTAACCCATCAGTTCACTGCACGTGAGGTGAACTGATGACCACCCACCCTACCATGCTATAAGATGGTCAAGTTAACTGATAGTTGACGATCTGTCCACCTGCTGCAGTCAACTCTTCCACATCAGTTCACGTTCAAGTCACCTCAACGTGAACGGATGTTAGAGTGATCCAAATAGTGTGTAGAAGAGGAGACGCAGACAAGAGGTGACTGCATCTAACATAAGTTGCTCCTAAGTAACTTACGATACACACAGCTTTGCCAAAAAATGCAGAAAAAATCGGCGCAAAACTGTACAACCGCGTCCGGAAAGGAGAGGATCGATGAACAGCTGATTTTGGCGAGGAAAAGAGAAAAAAACCTCTTCTTCTTTTTTGTAGATTTTACTGACTTTTTTCTTTGACAAACTGCTCAAGGCAAAAATTTGTAGATTTATTTCGTTGGATTTATGTTGCAGTTATTTCAATTTTCCATAAAATTCTCGTCAAAAAATGCGTTTTTGTGTCATCCATGTTTTTTCTAGGCGACATCCTTGATAGCGGTCATCATCGATTTTCCGGTAGTGGTCGCTATCAAAGACGCCCTGCAATACAGCAAAAACGTGGCGCTAGCCGGTGTCGAACCATGGTCGCGCGCCTTCAATTTCAGTCCCTTACCTGCTCGACCAAACCAGCTCGAGTGGTTTCCTTTTCAAGAAGGCACTTGATTGTGATGCCTCGGAAGCGATCCGCATCCAGATCAATGGCTCGCCGGATGCTAGACTGAGGCGTGATGAGATCAACGCTGGTCCGCGTCGAGAAAGATGCCCTGATGGGGGGTTTACTACGGGCCATAGTCTACAAATTCGGGTTTTACAGGCTTTATTACAAGGTATGGAAAAAGAATGTCCCTTCCACTCACCTCTTAATGTGATATACAGACAAAGGAAATCAAATTCGTCTATGTGAAAAAAATACCGAAGATTTACGAAGAAAAGGCACCTAACTTAGCTCTGCTTTCTGAAAAAAGGCGTATATATTCTAAGTCAGCTTTACGCGCTGCTTACAAGTACTCTTCTAGCTCCCATCAATTTGAAGCGAGTTTGTCGGCTGTTTTCCGTGCAAAATTTGCATACTCATCGCCTTACTGGCATCAAACACGAAGTTATAACGATATCCCAGCACCTTTTTCAAGCAGATTTTTAAGAGGCATTTCTTATATGTTAAGTAATACGCCAATTCACACAGTAAGGAGCTCAACTCCCTTCAGAATGGTGCGCCAAAGCTAGGAATATCATTTTAAAGCTGTTCCAAAATATTTACGTTTTTTCCAAAGGCCGAGCTAATTTAGGTACCCTTCTACATACGAGAAATAGACAGTGGTTTTCAGTCATCTTGTCGCAACAAAAGCTCTCCAGCATTCTTCTTTAAAAGTCTACTAGCTATTAGCTAAACCAATGATCGAACCCAAGCCTTGGCACTTTTTCAATGACGTTATTGAATGTTGCAGGTGTTGTTGCCCATCTCGGGCTCAAAAAAGGCGATCCACAGATTACAGACTACGACCATTTTATTCAACGTTCTCCGCTGACATTAAAGGTTATACTGCAATATTTTTATAACATGGTCTTCCTTTAAAATACTTGGAAGGCAACAGAGAGGAGGTTGAGTGATGATGCACCGAGCACTTAAAGGCGCGTCCCAGCAAAATGGGAATGCTGAAAATTTGAAATACTATCATAGAAGACCTCATTAAGCAATCATGAAATCCGTAGCAAAAAAGCGCTTCTGCAAAGCCCATGCTCCGTAAGTGGTACCGGACCTCTCCTCTCGCTCTGGGCCTCATCCAACCAACCATTTCACACTGCAAGCCAGGAGGCTCATGCTGGAAACAGTCACAATAAAACAATTCCGCAACATTTATGCGTCTTCTATCTTGGCCGGCTGTCCTCCACATGCCCACACATTTCTACTTTTTTAGTTACTTGATTGGAGTCGACCTGACGGATTTGCCAGGTAAGCGAGAAATTCCGATCGGACAATCTGCTGGGACGATTTGAGCATTTTTTCGAACCGCAAACTCGCATGTCACGTTTGAATCAAGCTTGAAAAAAAATGCACGACCTCTCCCCAATATCCTAACCTTGTGATAGGCGAGCGACTTGGTCTTGTGGCTAAACAAGGAAGTTACAATCCAGATAGATCGCGAAAATATTCAAGAGGGCTAGACTTGCCTTTTTCTGTTTCATTAGCTGGATCCAAACCTTGCTTGATAATTCTATGTTTTGTTGAAAACAGCAAAAAAGGAAAAGACAATCAGGCTCTGTGTACATGATAGTTTCACGTTAACTGGTTGTTTGTTCGATAATTTCTACGCCACCTTTTCTGGTCGCACTGACAGGGAGAGGATACTTAGTCGAAAGTGCCAATCCATATGAGACATATATTGCCTCAAGCGCTTGAAATGCTTATTCCAAATTCATAGTTTTTAGCTGCGGAACGGTTTTGTTTTAGAAGTTATGAGGGCTGTTTCCCTCTGGGGTTGAGACGCCCTCTAGCAGTTGCCTCTTATCTATGAGCACAGTAGAGGAGTATCTGCTGGTGACAACTGGCCTAGTGGTAGGTAATGTGAATGAAGATTACAATAAGGATTATAATACTCATATTATTTAGTTTTTAAACACTTCTAACTTTGATTAGCACCGATATCATCAGAAAATCCAGGCTTTAAGGCTTCAATGCCATTTAGAAGCTCAATTTCGCAAAATTGCGATAAAGTTGCATGCGGGGAAGCAAAACCTTGACACTCTCCTTCTCTCTTTATCAAGCAAGCCACTTACCGCTAAGCCACTTGTCACCAGTTGTTACTCCTCTACTTTGCTCATAGATAAGGGGGAGCTGCTAGAGGGCGCCTCAACACCAGAGAGAAACACCGCTCATAACTCCTTCTACAAAACCGTTCCGCAGCTAGGAACTATGAATTTGGAATCAGCGTTTCAAGCGCTTAAAGATGACATATGTCTCATCTGGATTGGTGCTTTTGACTAAGTATCTTCTCCTTGTGAGATTCACAACCCATTTTCTACAGCACCTGAGTACCTATTTTCACTATATTTAGTAGTCACTATTACGTTTAATAAGCAGCCAACAAGTTCTCAACTTTTTCTTGAGAAAAACCTGATTAGTTTTCCACTTGCAAAAATATGTAAGGCGCGAGATATGATAGGTAGCATGATTTCGTCGGTTCATCGCCGGTTATGACTCCAGATTTTTGAGACTAGTATTTCTAAGTGTTATATATTAGGTTGGCTCGAAAGTTCTGGGACATTGCATTTAGACAAAGTTTTTGTTTCGGTGTAAGCACTGATTGGGGCATGTTGCATACCACTGGATAGAGGAAAGCAATCTCTACAAAACTATGGTAAGCAAAAGCATCATCAATGTTTAATGAGAAAATTCGGGCGCAAATTTCAAAGCATAGGATTTTGATCTAACCCAGATCTCCAGCTTCTATAAACTTATGAAATCCCCACATGCTCCATTTTATAGTACAAACATATGTACTTATATGCTTACAGCACATTTTGTGCGGTTTGAGCTTAAACAACAAGAAAAACGAGGTGATTGAAAAGTGGCAAACTCCGCCTACGTTGGTCCTAAGCTCCTCCCATTTGCTTATATATCAGCTACATGCGAGAGAGAGCACATCTGCAAATTTTGGAGGATGTACATGCAGTGAGTTTCGAGAAATAGCAAATTTAGTCTGAAAATGTCCCAGAACTTTCGAGCCGACCTAATAGTACATCTTATAATTCATATCAAATTTCCAAGAATGCTTTAATTACCGTCAGTTTTCGCATAAAGAAACTCTTCTCTCTGTGCAAAAGTTTCTTAGAAGTCTCACTAGGGATTGGTATAACTGACACAAATTTCCCGACTGTCACCTTAACCACTGCCTGTCCGAGAAATTTTTTTTGAAAAAGGTGGGGCGTGGCTTCTGCCACGCCCTTCAAAATTCTTAGAATGCTTTACAAGCGTACTAATCCAGAAGCTGAGAGGCATGCCCCGAACTATCATAACGAAACTTACTCGAATTTTAGACGATTTTGAAAGTTAGTTTATCTTTTTACAATAAAAACATTCACTGGCCTAATTTTTTGACTTCGATGGGCTATTTTCAAACTTCGCTACCATTCCAGCGGAAAAGAAGAGGAGCTCCGTTTTATTCACACAAATCATCCTTTATCTCATTTTTCCTTCAGCATTATGTTCGAACAGTTACCTATCACAAGTGATTTTCCATCGGATTCATTCACTCCTGTGAAGAATTTCGAGAATTTATTGCAATTCTTCTTCCCTCTTGTGGAAGATACTGCGCTCAAGCTCGTTGATTTAGCTTCCTTAGAATAATTCTGATTGCAATAAATTCTCGAAATTCTTCATGCTTTGTAGGATTATTTAGCCACCCAGTCAGCTATGTTACGGATGTCACCGATGTTTGAAAGGTAATAATGACGAACGATATTGAAATTTAATATTTGATTTAAGAGCTTAGGAACCCTGTGCACCACGTTATTTATTTCAGTTATCCCATCTTTCGACTGACAAAAGTGCAAGTGCCAATTTTTTTTGAGAATTGTAGTATGTACAATATATATCAGTATGGAAGTGGAGCTATGGCCTGCAATATTTTCAGACAGATAAATGTCACGCACATTTTTACCAAACATAAGTGTAGCTTTCCCCTAAAATGTAAGAGATAGCCTCAAAATAGTAACAAACCTCTTTCGGCTAGACGAATTTCCTTCTCCCCTTTTATACCAGTGTAATCACCCGCTGATGGCAATATTTCCAGCAAAAAATTCCACGGCCTTTTTGTGATTTGAATGTCCTTAAGGTATAGTTGACCAATCGGAGTCTTTTCGATAAGGAGTGCTTTTACTACTTACTGTCGTAGTTTCCTCTGTTTTCTGTTGCGTCTCAATCATCTTGCTCTCAAGTTTGAAAATGCTAAAAATGTCTTATTTTTCCGCAAGTTTTTAGAAAAAGCGTTTAGCACTCAAACACAAAACGTAAGTAATAGTGCATGATTGGACGTTTGTGTTGCTTGTTCGATGCTATGAAATTACAGTTCAAGATCTACAAATCAACTGCTTGAAAAGATCAACTATTCAAAATCAAATGATCATAAAATTTGTGGCGAAACCACCTCGCTTTTGGTTTGTTTATTCACGCTCTTACTCAAGATGGAAGATGTTAGGGGGGGGGGGGGAGGAAGGGTAAATAGCGAATCACAATGCTGTATAGTTGAAACGACCGAAAAATTTCGTCGAATAATTGGTTTTTGAAAAATATGAACGAATATTAATCGAACTGTGATTTTCAGATTTTTCGAATTCCAATATTCGAATAATGCTACATTTTAAAATTCGAATGAACGAATATTCGAATAAATGTGGTTGGTCGAACATTCGACTATTCGAATAATCGAATAATCATACCTATCCGAATATTCGACTATTCGAATATTTCGAATAATCTAGTGCCTCAAAGAATGTTGGTTTTTCCTGTGTTGCGGTTTTCTGCAAAAAAAGTTACTCGCTATATTTGATCTAGATTTGTAGCTGATTTATACAGGGTGTCCCAAAAGTAAGTACACACTTTTCAATCGTTAATATCTCTCTTCCCTTTGTGTCTTTTTCAGCCATTCAAGTGTCCTCCTGTAGGGGAGGCTTCAACTTAGATTTACGATATCGAGACAATCACCGGTCGCTCTTCGTTACTGTAGGATTACTGTAGGAACTTCGACAAATATTTTAGGCCGCTGCAAGCCATATTCTGCCTCGCTTATACTATGGTAGTGGAAGCCGCTGATTTCGAATATGAAACTTCCACTTGACTCTGATGCTTCTTTCCTAAGTTATCCTAGGTAAAGCGTAATAATCGAGTTACCAGCATTTGTCGGAACTGTAATTACACTGTCAGAAAAGCTGAAAACACTCATAAAAGTCATGTAATGGAATTGGCGTGCGCGAAGACCCTAGTACATGATTTTTCAGATTTTTTGAAGAAATTTTGTTGAATGGCATATTTCACAATGGTTCCACATGCTGGAACTGGTGGTTATTTATTAGTAATGGTCAGCATTGCGTGAGTTCTAGGACTAGCACTGGCGGAGCACGAGGAAGGCCTACAATAAAATCAGTGAGCCTCTGCTGTTGTCCCGAAAGTTTTGTCCGTTCTTTCATACCACTATAAAACCACGCACAATAAAAACCTGAATGAGTTTCAACGTGATCTGATGCAGCTTTTCCTTCTCTTTTCAAGAATACACTTTCTTTGATAATTGCCAAAATGCTCCATCCGTCAATTTTATCTGCTCAAAGCTAGGCTACTTTTTAAAAATCTTATTCCAAAGTTTCGGAAAGGACTAAGTATGAATCAGATAGGGCAATTCTCGAACTAAAAGATGTTGTTTTTAGATTCTCTTAGTTTACTGTCTTTAGCTTCAAAAACATTATTTCTTCGGAAGTCTCGATTTTTGGTAAAGTCATGAAACACGCAACTGCAGCAAATACATGAAAGCTTTTGAAGCTTTTGCGAATTGAAATATGATTCTTATCCAACATTAATGCTACATAACCAAGTGTAGCGATCTTGGTAAACATGGCCCACGTAATCTAAAATGGGTGCAATGTAGCCAAAGGCTGCTGTACATGAAAATTATCAGCGCTCTTTGAATCAGGATAAAAAATTTTAAGATTCGGTAAAGATTTGGCGTTACTTCTGAGCTGCTCAAAAAGCCATGGCGATACATTGCAAAGACAGAGTAGATCAGAGAGCAAATACAGCTTAAGAAAGAAGATAAAAATATGTGTCATACCGTACCTAAGTTGTCCATGCTTTGGTGTTCCATGAGTTTTAGTGAGCGATGAAAGAAACGGACAAAACTTTCAGGACAACACCTACTACTTCTGTGCTCATCTAAATCCAGAAAAGAAAACTCATGGGAATATATGTATATTAGCTGATAATCTAATATTTGTCGAGAATTCAATCCTAGTTTCACAGTTTCTGCTGTAGGATTGAATTCCCACAAAGTTGTTTTAGTTGTATTTTTGAGGTTTGTACTTTTGTTGGAAGGTATCTTCCGTATCTTTTACTCAGGTTCAAACTACTTATTGTTCAACCTAAACACCTATTCGAAGTATTATTCGTCTACGAACCTTGCAGCGTTCTAACACTAGTTTTCTACGCCTTCGGACTACAAGGGTAGCCGATTCGAGTACAGTGACTGATATACAGGCTGCCCTCACAAGTCAAGCGACTCAGGTCCTCACGACCGCCTTGCTCTGGCCTTGCGCTGCAACGTATATTGGTATCAGGTATTTTGACAAGCAAGCGGTGATCAGGCTGGTAAGGCAAGTGAAGATCTCGAGATGAAGGAATGAATGTTGCCTATACCTGCTGCCTTAAAGGACTGCTGGTCCTTGACATGCTTATGCAAGCTATTTGAGGACCAGTGGTCCGCAGAGAGCGCCTAATGACGGCTTTTGTTCACCAAATTTAGAGCTTGGAGGTATTTGGCATGATATCGCATCTCAACTTCCGACGCGATTTTCGAAAGATAGTTCACAACTCCAAATAAATTATGCATAAAACTTGTCATCACTATGCTCTAGCATGATTCGCGACTCATGCCTTAAAAAGGGAAGCTTGCTAGCCATTCTGCCATATGATAATTCATTTCTGTGATTGACCGATTGGAGACATACTTGTACTCAGTGTAGAAGCAGCTGAAGTTTTTTTTGACATGGAATGTTCAAATAAATGTTCTTTAACATTCCAATATTCGAATAACTGTCTTTCAGGTTGGCTCGAATATTCGAATAACTGTCTTTCAAAATTCTTCGAATAAACGAATATTTGAATAACTCATTTTTCAAAATCGTCGAATGAACGAATTATTCGAATACAGGCCTTTTTCATTTATTCGACTATTCGAATAATCGAATAATTGGACTTTCTCGGATTTCGACTATTCGAATATTCGAATAATCGAATATTTCGAATAAATTATTCGAACACGAATATTCGGTTCTAACTATTCAGTGCTGACATTGGAGTTGAAAAGCCGGGGAACCTCAACTGACTTCATATGAGCTTCTCATACAAGATCAATAATAGGACTTATGGCTTATGGAATGAATACGTTTTGGGTGAACAGTTCAGCAGTTCAATAAGATATTCGAAATTTTTATAGTAAATTTTCCTTTCCCTTTACAATCATCAATACAAAGTTTATCGAAACTTTGTATTGGTACTCCTTCAAATTTACATACTTTTCGCCACTCGTGAATAAATCTCCTTACATTGCAAAGATGGCGAGTAGATGCTGTCGACGATCTAGTAACGGTTTAATCTATTTCTTGTAAAAAATCCTTTACTAATGTTGATTGACTAAGACACGGCCATTCAGCGAAACTTTCCAAGATTATTATTGAGTCTTTGGCCTTTGCAACTCAAAATCGAATTAGGAATCATTGACAACATTCCAAGACTTCAGCTTCAGAAAAAACATGCAAAACGAGAAGTATGTGTTTCCTCTTCGTTTACTCTATACCATGTTGCAGTTTTCGCGTCTTTAACGGATCCTGTATGTCATAAAATAGATTCTAGAACCTTTATTCGTGTTTTGTAAGCATCCACCTGTTATTATTACCTGTTGTGAAAATATTAACGACAACTACTCAGGCTTATACCCAGTTGGACTATTTCATAAAAAATATAAAACAAATTTAGAAATGGAAGATTTTCTAAACATGATTGATATACAATTAGCCGTGGTAATTAGAAAAACCGGGACACGACAAAATTTATTTCTGAATGATGAGGCGTGCTGCGACATCCTTCCAGCTTTGAGACCTATAGCTTCAGAATTTTCAAAAAAATGGCGTGGCAGCAGTTACGACCTTGAAGAATATATTTTAGCAAAGCTAGTTTACATTTTTGAGATTCTTTGAGACTTTTATAATCAGAACAAGTCAGTTTTGAGTCAATATTTTTCTGGCATCCACGAGCTAATACATTGGACCGAGAACTGTTTACCTCTCTGCATTCCTTGGTTCAAAAAATATTCTATCAACGTCGACGGCAGTTCAGGACTTGCATGAGATCATTAAAGAAATGTATTAGATTGGCAAGAAAGTTCTCAAGCATTCTAAAGCTAGAGTCGTTTTTCGAATGATATGATACAGAAGCCTCAATGTGCTCGTATGTATTCGAGCACTTGATAGAAATTAAGGTTTAATTTAAGTGGATGGGGGGGGGGGGGAGGTCGCATGCAAGAGCGCATGCACACACAATACAGAATTCGCTCTTATAAGGAAGAACAATTTGATTAAAAGTGAATTTCCGTCTGTTATGATGAAAAGGAACTTGATCAAAATCCGTATTGCTTACGGAAGTTAAAAGACGTCAGGCAAGAAAGAATATTTCCAAAATTAACTTCTATATTTTAGAACACTTAATATGCTCAAGCTTGGATCATCCAAGGGCTTTTTTATCTACCCAAGTACTCATGCCTTAATCAAACCCAGTTCGAACTTTAGCTATCCGAAATTCATCTAATTTAGTTTACTTTCCTGCTAACTAACAGTATCAATGGGAATTGAATGTGTATTATTTGCAAGTCGCTGTACTCAAAACAATCTTTACAAAATGAAATTACTGTATTATGAATTCGTATATCTGCAGTGAAGCTGGTCTGCCACTGATAAACTATGCTAAACATACCTTACAGAAAAAGTAGGCTTTTCATTCTCGAATCTTCCAGTAGTGGACCACTTAAGAATCACTTTATCAAGTTGCTCAGTAAATTCAATGTTGACCACTTTCATTTCTTCGTACGTCATGTGTACGGGCCCTTAAAATATAACTCTGAATGGCATATCAATACTATACATACTTGGCTTAGCCACTTTTTGTATGTTCGCTTAAAAAAGATAGAAGGAGCCATGAAATCTGGACCAAATTTGGCAGACATAATTTATGGGGTGGGGGTGCGTTAATAAGCCATTTTGTTCGGGATCCACCATTCGACTCTATCGATTCCTGGATTTTTTGCAGTTTCTGCCTGGAAAATTTTGTATGTTCGCCCAAAAAAGATAGAAGGAGTTATGGATTCTGAACCAGATTCTGCAGACATAATGTATGGGGTGGGGCGTGTGTTACTACGTCTTTTGTTCGGGACACACGGGTTGTTCCTATTGATTTATTGATTTTTTTCAATTTTTGCCTATCAAAGTTTTTCCGCCCTGATTAATAGAAGAAGTTTCAACTCAGTCTAAAGCCGCATGTGTTCTGAACACCGAAAAGTAGCATAGGCTGCCTTTCGCGGCAATTTGCTGCGCGTTTCTATCGTTTTTGAGATTCGGTTCCAGATGAAAATGTCTTATTAGCAACTTGAATCCAGTATCACCAAATAGATGAACAAGAGGGGTATACGTTATAAGTTATTTTGTTCAAAACATACCGATTCCTTCTGTCGATTTATTGTTTTTTTTGCAGTTTTTGTTTGGCAAATTTTGGCCGGCCCAAAATGTTTGAAAAAAATTATGAGGTCTGAACTGAACTTCGCAAACATGAACATCGTGGCGGACGGGTGTCACTAAGCTTATATCTAAAATAAGCTATTGTCGCTTTTGATTCATTGACTTCCGGCGTTTTTACTTAGCCATTTGTTATGACTAACCCAGAATGCTAATATAAATCGTGAGATCTGAATCAAACTTCGCATGCATATACTTCTGAACGGGTCTTTGGTTAGTAAGCTATTTCCACTAATATAGGCTGAATTAATCCACTGATTTTTCTTACTTTACGCTCTTGGGGCTCAAAATTGGCGGCAAGGAAATGATAGACAGGCATGGTTATTATGAACACAATATCTATTGCTTTGGTTATTGACTTCATCTATTCATTAATTATTTTCATCTAAGATCTCGACAACTGACTAACATTTGACTACGCACCAATCCCTTTCTCAGCCAGATTCATCGACCAACTAAGTTTATCGAAAACAGAAATTCCGCTCACCCACAGGATCAAGCATGACCACCAACCATATGAATCCAATGACAGTCAACACCCTTATGTCTCCCCCCCCCCATGTTTTCTTCAAATTATGACGCCTTTCTCACGTACTGCTTCCTTTGAATGCGTACTGCTTCCTTTGAATGCCTCATTTCCAACACCGTACTAACGTCATTCACCTTACATGGGTCATGGGACACAAGTAATGTGAAGAACTGTAAAGTGAACGTGTCCGTGACATGGACACAGACCTTACACATGTCATGAGACACATCCAGCTCTTCTGTGTTGTTGACTGTGCATTGTCTGTTGCTTGGAGTATTAACACAAATTTGATTGCGAGGCCAAAGTGCGTCCTCGATTATCCTCCTACACAGTTTAAACCGAAGTGTTTCGTGCAAACCAAAAAGTTCACTAAATTCCCACATTTGCACAATAGAGTAAAACGAAAGATATACAGGAAAGCAAAGCTGCCGAGTACCAGCCGAACCTGCCGCGCAGCGGCAGAGAGCGGCTGTGTTATCTAATTAAGCAAGAAAAGCCTACCTCGCTGAATAGAAGTTTCGTATCCGCCTGGATAATGAAATTCAAGCTTGGCGTATCTGTTCTTTCCATTGTCTTTTGAAGGGTCAACAGCATAAACAGCTGTTCCATTCTGAAGCAATCTGTGTGAAAGACTTCAGTGAAATTTTCCTAATTTTTTAGACTGTTTCAAGTTGCTTGCCATATATCTTAATATCCCACAAATAGCCTTGTTCAAATGATCTTTCCTGGTTTTCTGCGCTTTGCCTTTGCAAACAATACTTATAAACGTCTGTAGCTTGACTCAGCACACTCATTTTCAGCATAGTTGACTGCACGGAATCGCCCCGGACTGAATGCCTGTAAGCGTGTCTATTGCGGGCTAACACTGGCATTCGCGCGCATGAGTCAGCATAGCCGCACTCGGCAGCTGCGTCGCAGGCATCCTCGATTGCGTTCAGCCTACGGTGACCCGGGCAATTCCGTGCAGTCGACTCTATCGCAAATCAAACTTCGATAACTGACCCATTTCAATGGTGATACACATAACACTTTCCCTTAGAGAATTTCAGAAGCATTACAGGTTAGCGCTATGTATATGTAAAGAATAAAGTAGCTTGATAGTTGACAAAACTCAAACACTATTGACTCTACAAAAAGGAAGCAATGTAAGTGCAGTGCTTGGATTTGAAATTTCGAAGCTATTTTCAGTTCACCTCGGAATTTTTAGTCCACCTCGGAACTTGGATACTATCTAGCAGAAGCGACTAATATTCAACGCGTTCACGGCAAAGCCAAGTTCGACTGCTGCGGTTTCGGACCAGAGCCTTTTGCGCTTTGTCGAACTTACGACCCACCCGTGGGTCGTATTGTCCGAAATGGCTGATTATCAGAATATGATTTACAGGGTGGGGCAAAAGTCTGGGAGCCTAGGTAAGATAAAATCAGAAGGAAAGTGCCTAGAAACAAAAAATTTTTGCGCACATAGATCTGACCTTTACAAATACAACGCTACTCTCAAATTTTAAGATTGCCTCTTCTGGCTTCAAAGCAGCCCTTCGAAATCTTGGCGAGTCCTCCTGTCGCGGCAGGCAGTCATGATGAAATTTGTCCCACTCCTTTAGGATAACTGTTTCTTTCACCAGGCAAATGTGCTTTGTGATAGCAGCAGTTGTGATCAGTTCTTTTGACTACTACATACTACGAGGAAATCTTTTTTGCAGTGATTAGGGAAAAAATTTGGAATTTTAATTGAAGGCAAGTGTGCAATATATACTGGAAATCTGGATGCGATTGCGCGTATAGGAGCGAAGAATCGTAAACTGAAAAGTATTGAACTTGCTTAATTGATCGGACTCAAGCACATGCTTGCGTAGAAGACTCACGAGAAAAATGTAGCCTAGAATTCAGTGCCCTGCTGTGCTCCTATAGCTTTCAGATTTATTTTAAATAAAAATGGCCACTGGCACGCAGGTAGTACTCGCAAATTTTTATCTTGCGTTTTTGAAAGAATAGTCTCTGACAAACGCAACGACTACGAATTGATAGCGCAAAGTCTCCTCTACATTGTATGCATTGAAAGCTTTAGAATATACACTGTATCTTTAGCTACGAAATAAGTTCTGAAGACAAAAATTTCGATTTTCTCGCTTTGCAGAGCACTTGTTTGATAAATCCAACTCCTACAAAAACATATGGCAAGCATTCAGCCAGCCAAAGTGGGATTTGTAGAGGATGATTGCAGCAATGTGGGGCTCATATCTGGAGTCAAAATCATTAGTAGTTTCTTGATTTACAGCACTGCAAAATAGGCTCCCAGACTTTTGCCCCACCCTGTATATAATAACGGGCTAAGAGTGTTTGTGTGTGTATGTATGTATGTATGAGTGTGTGTTGTGTGTGTATGTATGAGTGTGTGTGTGGGTTGTGTGTGTGTATGTGTATGTGAGTGTGTGTGTGTGTCTGTAACGAAATTCACAGAACGACTTGCAGCCGCAATTTTTTGCACAACACACTCTGCCGAATTCTTGATCAGGGTTAAGCAAGGGGTGTGGCACACGATCGCTGGTTACGACCCCCCCCCCCCTGATTGCTGTCTTAATAAGACCCCCCCCCCCCTGAACTATATACCTAAGATAGCATTGCCAGAGTTGAGAAAGAGGTCAGGCACAAGTCTTACGAACCCCCCCCCCCTCCCATGAAAGCCCTCAAACGACCCCATCTTCCTCCTCTTAACCTCTGGACCTCAAAGTGTGACATTCTGAAGGACACCATCCTTTCTAGAGAGTTTTCAGATTTCTGAGAGCTGTACGCCCGATTTTCTGTGACTGCACTTTACAATCACACGTAATTTGACGGCTGATTTTGATCTGAATGGGCATATTGAAAGGGCCATAATTTTCTTATGGGTGGGGCGTTCGGCTCCAAAGTTCCAATGTAGCAAGAAGAAGCTATGTGCTCAGTACTCATACCAGCAATGGAGCGCCTTCTGGATTTTGAAGGCAAGTTAAGGGGGTGCGGCACACCCCCTTAAAAGCTGCGGCAGCCGCAGCTTTTAAGGGGGTGTGCCGCACCCCATTAACTATATCAAAAAAACGTTTTTAGCGGACAATATTTACATGAGTCGATAGCCTAAACCTTGTAGATTCCATAGAACTGTTTGGAGCTTGATTCGTCTTCTTAGCTCTGAGTAATATTTGATGAAAGCACAGCGATCAAAAGCGAAAAATGGGAAAAGCGAGATTTTGGTTGGCTTCTAATTCCACAGTTTGCAGGTCTTCTGAAGCGGGATTCCTGAGGTGGACAAAGAAGGAGTAGTGCTTTGTCTTGAGTGCAAAAACAATAAGCTAATTCACCTTTCAAACAAAGTTAACCATGTTGGATTTTGACCATTTCATTTAGGTAGCCTAGTATCTTGAATTTTCAGAATTCGCTCAATCTTTGTCTACAGGGGTTAATTGACATGCTAATTATGGATATAATACGAATATCATGTTATCATTTATATCAGAATACCCAACTACGACCCCCTCCCCTTTTGACTCCTCAATACGACCCCCCAGGTGTGGCGTGCCGCACCCCACGCTTTACCCTGTTCTTGATTCACCATGTAAAAGCACGAGCGATTCATTGAGTAGGTCACTCAAAAAGTGCAGCCCAAGTGGATCCACTCAACTGCTGGCGCGCAAAATTGGGTCCGTATCACCACTTTTTTCCAGAGTTGTGATCATGTTTGGCAAGTTAATGTGCAAGGCGTGAGGTTTAGACCAAAAAAGTGACCAAAAGGTCTATCACTCTACGAAAACGGCGCCGAAACAAGTTGGTTGTGTGAATGGCGGATTTGCCAGGAGTAGGTCACGATGAATATTATCTTTATGGCGACTGACAAGCCTTGAAAAAATTCAAAAGTGTTCTAAATATGCATTTGTTCTCCATCTTCCTAAGATGCGAAAAAGCTTTCGAAATGAATAGATGTTTACGATTTATTCATGAAGGCAGGCATGGCGCGGTAAGTTCCAATGTCATGTTATGCGAGAATGAGTGAGGCATACAGATAGGAAAACCAGTGCGAGACTCTGCGAAGCAGAGGTGATCAGTGTTATGATTTATTTCAGTTCTTGCATTATACGGTAAGGTTAGAGTAATCAATCTTTTACAAACCCAACATCATAGAATTTTATAAAAGATTGAGTTTTGGTGTTTCAAGTGCTAATCACGAATAAGTGTACACGTTGTTCACTATGTCCCACGGTAGCAGTACATTAAAAACTTCAAATAAGAAATAAAAATTATAGAGGATGATGTAAGAAGGCGGTATTAAGACTTGAGACTATCGTTGCTGTAATCAGCATGCATGAAAACCTACATAGTAAGATTTATGCTTCCTGGGATGGAGAATGTAAGAAACAATAAGATCGATAATTTTTTGGTGGGCTACATCAATCTCTGCTCGCTCCATATTTCACGTGGTACACTTGAATTCCCAAGAACAGCATTCTGCGAAGAATTTGAGCTAATGTGCATTATCTCTAAGATATAGCTGTGCCGTAACATTACATTGTAGTATCCCGAGCCCGGGCCACTCTGGCTAGAGCTTCGCCTAGCTGTCTTCAATTATGTGCCATAATCCCGTAGAATCCCATCGTGAACTGGCCATGCTAGAGCTTCAAAAATCTTACGACACGTTGGTGGTCGTACTGCCGTGATTGTGTTGAAATGGACATCAAACGGACCGAGATATCCAACGCTGAACTTGAGAATATTACGAAACTAGCTGATTTTCCCGGTCTAGCCCGGGTCCTTCAGCTGGTGCTTGCTCCAGCCAACTCACCAGCTGTAGCCTCGTTCACCGCATCGTTCTTACCGCGAAAATCGAATGGACTCTACTGCTATTGTTTACATGAAATCATGGAAATAGCTTGTTAGCCGATGTAGAGAACTCATTCTTATCAAAAATCAATAAATCAATGGAATGGATCAGCGAATCGCCGCAAAAAGCAGCGCTAAACCACCTCTGAGGTCGAATACGTACCATCTGATTCAACTGGCTTGGCATTGGCAAAGGCGGGGCTTCGTAACCTAATTAAGGCTAGGCAATGATCAGAGAGCACTCGGGCGAGAGAGACGCAGGTGCGTCGCGGGTGCGAGCGGCCTCAATTAGATCACAGAACCCCGCCCTAATGGTGCCAAGCCAGTTGAATCAAATGTTATGTGTGCAAAGTTCCAGCTCAATCGGTTTATTGGCAGGCGTTTCTATAACGAACGAACATATAAACGAACACACTACAAATTTTGAATTTAAATATATTACGAATTAAAAAGGTGTCACACTTTTGAAAGTGCAATGTTTGCCCCAAATTCTCACTAAGTGCTTATTGATGCATTTGCACAAAAGCGATCCTACTGTATTCTTGTCGGTTTCATTTAATGTAGAAATTAGTCTGAGACATCTTAAGTAATCAAGAAAAACTGAGAGAAAGATTAACAGATAGAAAAAAGACCGTCTTAGGCCCCGGATATAGTTCACGCGATTCCAGTCGCGGCGCGATTTGGCAGTACTCCAGTTAATTATAATTCATCGTAAGCACAGTCTGAATGTACAGAAGATAGGGAATTTTATTGGTCTACGAAAGCTATGCACACTGTGCATTGTAGTCTGTCAGTGTCAGGCTGGGTTCATACTGATTCCCATGTTCTGGAACTGTTCCCGCGCAGTTCTCCACTGTGCTGGAACTGTGCGGGAACTGTGCGAGAACATTCCAGAACTGTGCTGCATGCGCCGCAGCCGCCCCGCACCGTTCTGAACGGCGGGAGTTGGAGAATTTTGACCGTTCTCAACGGTTTTCCTTCCAGATTTCGCTCATTTTGGCCTTATTCCTCCACCCCGCTTCCTTTTTTGATCAGCAGAACTTCGAACTCGAAGCGGGGTTGAAGAATGGGCGCTTTTCTGCGCCGTGAATTACGGAAAGATGGGCTATCGTGCGATTGTTCATTCTGTCTTCGTGTTTTTTGCTCAAAACTACTTCATTTGTTCCAGGAAGCGGCTTCCCAGTTTCCATAGCCATCTGCCACGAATTAGGGAGTAGGAGAAATCCTGAAATTGCATGAGTTGGGACTTGTCTCTTGTTTTTGATGATTTTGGGCGTTCCCAACCTTTTTCGTTTTTTCATGTCGTTGCTTCTCCGTTCTTTCTTCTACCCCGCTTCTCCTAGTGATGAGAAAAGCTGGAATTTGAAGCGGGGTTGAGGATTGAACCTGTTCTGCTCCATGTATCCGCGAATATGGGCCTTCGTGCGCTCGTCTATTCTCTCATCGCTATTTTTGCTCAGACCTACTTCATGTGTACTAACAAGTCGCTGCGTAGTCTCGCATCTGTATTGAAATTGAAATAGACAAGTCTCTAACACATGAAGTAGGCCTAAACAAAAATGGCAGAGAGGACGGACGAGCGCACGAAGTCCATCTTCCCGGATACATGAAGCAGAACAGCGTTCAATCCTCAACCCCGCTTCAAATTCACAGCTTTTCTCATCACTAGGAGAAGCGGGGTAGAAGAAAGAACGGAGAAGCAACGACATGAAAAAACGAAAAAGGCTGGGAACGCCCAAAATCATGAAAAACAAGAGACAAGTCCCAACTCATGCAATTTCAGGATTTCTCCTACTCCCTAATTCGTGGCAGATGTGGAAACTGGGCAGCCGCTTCCTGAACAAATGAAGTATTAGGTTGTGACATAAGTCTTGTTACACTTAACTTCTAACGGCGATAAGTCATACACCTCATAGTCTTTGCAGGACTTCAGGGTACCAACCGATAGAGCAAAGCAAGCTCTACAAAATGGTCTGCAAAAGTTCGCACCAGCTCCAACCCACCGTAAGTTTGCAGCCAAAATGTGAGTCGTACTGAAATTCAAAAAATCGCGAAAAATTCATATCTTTGTTTAAACAAATCCTACGGATCTCCAACTTGCTCATAAAAATTGCCCACTATATCAAACACTCATATGCACCGTTGCTGTACTTTTTCCTTATCTAGAAATCGAGAAAAAGAATTTTTTTTAGTTTTTACAAAAACGAAGCTATGCTGTTTCTTTTTATGTAGTTGTATACTACAATCCCTTAGAAGTATAATCGTAAATTTTCAGCTTCCCAGAAGCCCTAGTTTTCGAGAAATACCTAATTTAGCATTGAACACCCGAGTGATAAAAGCCAAATTTGGCATTTCTCGAAAACTAAGGCTTCTAAGAAGCTGAAAATTTACGATTATACTTCTAAGAGATTGTAGTATACAACTACATAAAAAGAAACAGCATAGCTTCGTTTTTGTAAAAACTAAAAAAAATTCTTTTTCTCGATTTCTAGATAAGGAAAAAGTACAGCAACGGTGCATATGAGTGTTTGATATAGTGGGCAATTTTTATGAGCAAGTTGGAGATCCGTAGGATTTGTTTAAACAAAGATATGAATTTTTCGCGATTTTTTGAATTTCAGTACGACTCACATTTTGGCTGCAAACTTACGGTGGGTTGGAGCTGGTGCGAACTTTTGCAGACCATTTTGTAGAGCTTGCTTTGCTCTATCGGTTGGTACCCTGAAGTCCTGCAAAGACTATGAGGTGTATGACTTATCGCCGTTAGAAGTTAAGTGTAACAAGACTTATGTCACAACCTAATAGTTTTGAGCAAAAAACACGAAGACAGAATGAACAATCGCACGATAGCCCATCTTTCGAATACACGGCGCAGAAAAGCGCCCACTCTTCAACCCCGCTTCGAGTTCGAAGTTCTGCGGATCAAAAAGGGAAGCGGGTGGAGGAATAAGGCCAAAATGAGCGAAATCTGGAAACCGTTGAGAACGGTCAAAATTCTCCAGCTCCCGCCGTTCAGAACGGTGCGGGGCGGCTGCAGCGCATGCAGCACAGTTCTGGAACTGTTCCCGCACAGTTTCCGCACAGTTCCAGCACAGTGTGAGAACTGTGCAGGAACAGTTCCAGAACATGGAAATCAGTATGAACCCAGCCTTAGGAAGAATCTGGCAGCTTGCCAGATCGCGCGACGACCGAAGTCGCGTGAACTACACCCGTGAACGGGAGTTTGTTTTAATAGTATCTTCACACCCATAATTTCAATGAGGAGTAGGACTGACCAAACAGTGTTTCGCGGATTTTTTTCCAAATACTGCATACTTTGAGCTTATAGAAGAGTTGAATTTGAATGTTCTCTCAACAATTTTTCAGGTGAGATACATGTCATAAGATTTTGAGTTAAGAGTTCATGTATCCCATGCTTTGCAGCCAGAAGCTACTATTCTAATTTCTCACGTTCACAACTGACTGGAAAGTTGTGCAGTTTCTCGGCATTAGGATAGTCTACGTTCTCCTGAATTAGCACAGTCATATCGTTATGGATTACAGCAAAATATTTAACCCTTTTTCCTTTCTAAAGCAGTAAAGGACCCGAGATCACCGTTGCCTTCCTATATAAGATTTACACGGAAATACTCGTTCAGGAAAGCTAATCTTAGACTCAACTTCGCTAACTGCAAAGAATTTTCAAACGAAGTTATGCATGTTTTTTTTTCCATTGAAACTTGTGTGCCACCAGTCAATTGATATTATCACTGTTGGCCAAGTTGCCTGCTTTAGGCCCAAGACATACCTCACGCGATTCCAGTCGCTGCGCGATCTATCACTGCAGCGATTCTCATATCTAGCCGTAAACGCGCTTTGCATGGGTCACATTTGATGGTTTTGCTACAATTTACGGAAGCTACGCCTATGCATTCGAGATCCGCGCACGGTTGGTTTGTAGGAATCTGACAATCCGCCAAGTCGCGTGGATGCAGCGATTTGACGAAATCGCGCGAGGCATGCCTTAGGCCTTATGCTACGGAGTAACATCAATGATGATCAGGATCGAGAAAGAAACGTGACCGCCGGATACGACCCTCCTTCTATCACTTAGGCCTCCGGCAGAGTTCACGCGATTTGGTCGCCGCGATTGATCGCGACAAGACAATTGTAACAATATCATTGCATGCCGATGTTCTTGTATTTTGGTCGTGATAGTTTTCCAACAAGACTAAAGGGCCGGGCATACTTCACTCTCAGTCGCTACGCGATTTGGCAGTTTTCCAGAAGTCTTCAGATCCAACACTAGCAAACTGCACATGCATAGTCGTGTGACTTACGTGGAATGATAAAATGCCTTATCTTCTGTAAGTTTAAAATGTGTTTCCAGTGAGATATGGACAGTTGGAATATTGCCAAATCGCGTCGCGACTGAAATCGCGTGAAGTATGTCCATCCCTTGATGGTGATTAACTATCAACCGAAATACAAGAAGATCGGCTTGCAATGAACTCATAATACTTGTCTTGTAGCGATTGAATGGGTGGCAAAATATTGGGAACCTGAGAATTCGCTGAACCAACTTGACCCATAGGGTTTATTTGACAAAATATTCACGAATATCTTACTAGTGTGCTTCGTAGAACATTTGAATCATGACGGTAGGCAAATGCTGAGAATACTAGGGGTGAATATGGAGACAGAACCTAAGGCCTCGGACAGAGTTCACGCGATTTGGTCGTCGCTGAAGTGGCCATTTTCAAACATGGTCAACTATATTCTAAAAGTAAATCAACTAACAAAGCACTACCCCTGATTACCCAAACATAAATCTTGTTTCGAATGGCCATCTAACTATGGAATTGGAAGCAGGAAAAATCAGTTTATCCCATTTTTCGCTAGCAGTGGTTATGCTTCCAGCAACTGTTTCTCGAAGGAGAACAGCCAATCCAGCTCTAATCACTTGCACAAAATAGAAATTTTGGTCGAACTGCACTTATTTTTCCCTAGCATTCTCTTTGAAGGTAAGTTAATGGGATATGGCACAATCCTAGAAGAACTGTGGCTGCCAAAAGGGTCGTGCCACACCCCAGAAACTTACCTTTGTAAAATTCAAATACCTGCTATTTTCATATCGTTGCTACTGGACCTTCTTTTTTACACAACAGGAATTTCATTTGAAATCGCGTCTTCTAGGAGAAGACATAATCGTCTTTTGTTACCAACTACAGCATCTATCTTGCGATAAGAAGGAGAAAAGAGTATAAATGCAATGCGGTTCGTAAGAAATTGAAGATCAGGTGGCCTCACCACATACTGAATTACAGCAGCAGGAATATGGGATACAAAGTAAGACTACAGCGCATAAAAAAGCTACTATAAAGAAATTTTATACCCATCGCAGTTGCGCGATAGTATCTTGAAGCATTAAAGTTCAATTGACTTCTGCAATCTCCTATACTCAACTCTATTTTGTGTCGCATATTTCCTACATAGTCACTGTTATAAACTGAAGTAATTAATTCTCACTGTGTCCGTGGTACTGTTCACATGCACCGCCAGATCGAGTGTTGAGCCATCTTCGAGACGGTAACTTTGCAATATGGCCCTAAAGCGCATAGTTGTCGGTGGTCGTGATTTTTTTTTTGAATTTCATATGCATAAGAGTGAAAATCTCAGAGTTTCACAAGTCTATGTGAAATTAGCTACTCACAGCCCGACACAGATGGCATAAGCTCAGACTGAGAATCATTTTGCGATGGTAAGCAGACAGACATCGTTTTGCGAGGTCACCGGAGTTTGGAATTAATTCAAAATGAGTAGAGTTGCTAGAAAATTGATTGCTGTGAAATTTAAGCGCTAATGAACTCCTACCCTCTTATTGCAGATAACTTTCGTATACTTATATACTGACACACTCTAAAGAGTGCTACGAGTGCCTACTGAGATTTTGCTAATGCAGAAATATTTTACTCTATTTTCAGGTGCATAAGCCGGAGAGGATTTTTTTGATTAGAGCCCAAACACGCCAAAGGAATTTGTGATCAAAGAACCTCATAGAGTGCTTATTGCCTCAGAGAATCGTGCGGCATAGGGATCGCTTTCCGAAACATTGTGAAGCGGAAGTGCAGCTCGTTTGGCGCAAGCGCAGCCTATACATCTGAAGGGTAATCATGTCAAAAACAGCGTAAAATTGTTTGAGGGTAGCTGTGGCGGCTCGGTGGATCAGCACCTTCCGCAAGTGCTCGCCGCAGCTACACCAGAAATCCTAATTGTTCCTTGCATAATGTTACGCATCCGATAAGGTTAGCCACTCCTTACCGGCCGCTGCTGAGGACTACCCTTAGCCGTTAGCAGCGCAATAATGCTACAGATGGCCCCGTTAGACTTATCTCCAAGATGAACTTACTGAGGCCTCGCTAACACCGTCACTAGTCGCCCAGACTCGTAGAAAACGGTGCAACCTTCTCCGCTCCCGATAATTTTGGTTTAGCAATAATTCCAAAAGGGGTTGCTTTTATCTTGCGCGTCCTGCGCTTGAAACTATCCCAAAATCCTGTGGACTCGCTTGATATACAACAAAAACACACCAAACGCGGTAGCTCAAGGCACGATGATGCAATATCAAAATCACAGACAGAAGTAATCATTAAAGGAGTAGACAAGCGAGCAAACAAGGCCGCCGCTTGATATAGCCGTTTTGTTGATTTTGCGCCAGTAAGAAGAGGTCCGGCGGCCATTGCGAAGCTAAGGCTTTATATCGTAATCGCGACCGGAAGTGCGAATCAACCGGTGCTCCCGGCCTCCTATTTTGAGGAGCGCGCGCATCGCTAGCTGCTAAAGTAGCAAAACTTTTCCGTGAGGAGCTGCTGCATGAAAGCATGTAAGTACTAAGCTAATTGTCCGTTCTCAGACGAAGGTAATGTGCTGAGATCATATTGTCGGCCGTGGGGATCACTTGTGTTGCCTTGAGCCCTTGAAGCCACTGTTCGGCAAAGTTAGAATTCATTTCAAAAGCCATCTAAAACAGCACCTGTCTAGGCTTAACAGAGACTGTCCCAGTCGTCTGCCAAATTAGCAGCCTTGAAAAGAGCCTGCTCTCTGTGCTTCATTCTTTCTTGAGTGAAAGGGCAACTTTGAAAGCCACGCACTGTCAAGACTTTGAGACTTTATGATGACAAAGTGCGAGTCTTTGCAATCAAGATTGACGCATTATATTAGTTAATTAGGATTAAGCTTAAGCTTCACATAAAACTTTCAGCACTTACATTCTGTTCAGACGAGGTCTCATATTTGAGACTGTCCACTTCATAGTTACATGTCCTGGCCTCACTGCTTTACTTAAATTCATGCTCAACTCTAAAACCGGCTCATCTGCAAAAAGAAACCTACAAGTATATTTCGGGTAGCCCACTGGAACTCTACCTCTGGGTCCCAAAACCATGAGAAACATTTTTATATCTCTCACATTTCCTTTTTCATCTTCTAATGAGCAAGTATATGTTCCGCTGTCACTGACCTTCACATCTTTGAAACGTTTGCAACGATCTTCTCTTGTTTTCCTCCACAAAAAGCGCCTAACCTCCTAAAACTAGATGGGTAAGATTCTCAAAGATTATATCATGCAAACTGAACAGAGCAGTTTCTACTCCCTTTGACGACACAGTTTATAAACTTTGGCCTCCTTTGAATAGTTAAGTTTGAGGTAGCAGCGAGAAATGGAAGCACGAAAACTATTTTCACCTTCTCAGACAATTGCATTGGAAAGTTCGCGACCTTAACGTGTGATATGGAGCGCCGCGGCCCTCAAAATTTCAGGATGCCGCGAATATCAGGACCTAGGCTTTCTCTGGTGTCAAGCATTTTTTATCAATCACGCCGCAACGCAACAGCCTTGCAAAAGAACTATCGAAAAACCGCGGCTTTGAGAATTTCCCGGGTAGCTAGCGGGCAAAAGAGAGTGACCGTCTCCAAAAAAAACGAAAGCAGACGAATAAAGCAAAAAGGAGACTTCTGCTTGCGCGCTTTTCATTTCTTATGCTCTCGTAAATAAAACATTCTAGTTCATTCATTGTTATTATAACAAATCATCAGGTTGAACCGAAAGTTCGTCGCACCATTTTCAAAAATTAATAACTTCTAATTTTTCAAACCAATTTGACTTCTTTGATTTTTATATGAAATAGCAATTCATTCCCTTCATAGTGACACCTTAGCGGCTTTCTGTTAAGCATAAAATGCGTAGACATAAGCGTTAGAAGAAAATTAGTCAAAATTCGAATTTTCTGTGTAGGGTCATAAAAAATCGGAAACTTGTAACAAAAATCGAAGCAGTCGCTATTGTAAGTTCTTTCACCAGCTTTTTACTGTGCAAAGTTTGCGCTGATTGAGCGTCTCTATGAAATATTACGATTTAGCAAGCAATACAAAAGGGGGAATTTGATTTATTTTTCCGGGAAATCGTAACTTTTCATAGAAACGCTCAATCAGAGCAAACTTGGCACTGTTGAAAAGAGCTGATGAGAGAACCTATAATACTGACTGCTCTGATTTTTATTGTATGTTTCCGATTTTTTATCCTTACACAGAAAATTCGAATTTTGACCAATTTTCTTCTATCGCTCCTATCTATGCAACAGATGATCATTAGCGAGCAGGTAAAAAGTTCTTATAAAGAGCATGACTTACTCTTTCCTGCAAAAATAAAGGCAGCCAAATTGATTGGAAAATTCAGAAGCTATGAAATTTTGAAAATGGTGCGACAGAACTTTCGGTTCAACCTAATACATTCTCAACAAAAGAATTTTCAAGTATTTCTCCTTAACTAATGAGTTTCAGAAAAAGATTTCCATTTATTCACAAGTGGTTTACTTCTGCTTCGCAGAGATTCGCACTGACCATCAAAAGGTATTGAAACGTATGTAATGGTATCAGCCTCTTAATTATTCTTTAACAGAGAGACCGCTAAGTAGCCACAAAAATGAACTTTACTTCTTATGCAGTTTTCACATGCATTAGCAATGTAAATCATCTCTCATTGTAATTTCGCAACAGACCAATTGACGGACCGACAGATTAGCAGCTTATTATAAGTCACTAGCTGGCTTACCCGGCTCCGCCGTATCCGGACCAAACTTGGCACACATACACTTCGGGCCCCGGCGGGTGTCACAGTCCACTTTTCGTTATCGATCGATGTCGATTTTACCGATTTTTATCGATTTTTTTGCGGAGTTCACCTGCAGGGCTAGGAGTTGGCACAGGGGGGGGGGGAAGTGAGCATGGGGATTCCGAATACAATATTAGTTTTCAGAATTATCGATTACTTTTATTGATTTCATCGATTTTTTGTAAATTTTGACATGCGAGGCTGGGATTTTGCACAGGGGGGTAATCGAGCATGCTGATCACCCCCCTTGGGAGTGATCAGCATGCTCGATTACCCCCCTGTGCGAACTCCCAGCCCCGTAGCTCAAACTTTGCAAAAAATCGATAAAATCGATAAAAGTAATCGATAATCTTGAAAACCAATATTGTATTCGGAATCCCCATGCTCGATTACCCCCCTGTGCCAACTCCCAGCCCCGTAGGTGAACTCAGCAAAAAAATCGATAAAAATCGATAAAATCGATATCGATCGATGACGAAAAGTAGCCTATGACACCCGCCGGGGCCCAAAGTGTATGTGTGCCAAGTTTGGTCCCGATCGGTTCAGAAATGGAATTTTCTATTCGGAACATACGTACATACATACATACATACAGACAGACAGACATACAGACAAACAGACATTCAGCTTTATATATAAGATGATTGTTCTTTCATCTTCAGTAAATAGAAAGGACTGGAACTTCGGGGGCTGTTCCCTGCTTCTATTTTTTTGACAAGCAAATTTGCATCGGAAGTACGAAGTGACTTAACAATTTTTTTTGCCCTTCATGAAGGTGATGCAGAAGCAAACTGGACGATTCGCTCAATCCTCCTTTGCTCGTATGCACACTGTTTGCAATGTTGCAGTGAGTAATCCGTTAAAAAAGTTTCTTTGCTTTTCGTCACTTCTCAAGCATGATAAATCTTTTAGTCGTTGTCTATTACATGTCTCATGCTTGTGGTTACTCACTGCTTTCGCTCCGTTCTTGTCTTCTAAACCAAAATAAGATTTTATGATTTTTGTGAACTACAATCGTTTACATTAAAACCAATTTGTTTCTACTTTTTGAACTTTTTCTTTCTTGTCTTTTACTAATTTGCTCATGTATGGTGCTCTTTTAGGTTTCTCACGTCATATTTTTGTTTCTTGCCAGGAGGTTTGATTTATAATTTCACTGTTGTTTTTCTTCCTTTTCCTTCCTTTTTCCTTTAATAAACGGTGAATAATAGCTTGAGGATGTCTAATTCCATACATTAGCGAATAACGACTATATCACCACCTATAACATTTACAGTATCCACATCAAAACAACTCTTCTTTCTTAAACCTTATCCCTTTGCAAACTCTCATTTGTTGCAAACTCTTTTGACTGAGAATTTTTTCAGGTTAATCCCTATCTTTTATCGGAGAAGGTAGAAGCTTCGAGTAAGTTCCTATAACGAAAGCCGGAGTGGGCTACATGTACCCTGTCCTCCAAAAAGCGTCGTGAGCTTTCACATCTGAGAATTTTACCAATTCTTATGAATAAGCTTCGCTTTAGACTGAACATATGCACTTAACGCTTTGCTCACTTCATAGGATGGGCACCAAGCACAGTAAATCTGTTTATGGTTGTTCCCGCCCTACTGGTCGAGTCCTAATTCGAACTGGAGCAGGCCGGCTGCGGTAGGACGCTGCACTCTCAGCTTAAATTAAGCTTGCACTTGTTTTGTTGTTTGTCTTGTTGTTAAACGCTATTTTTTGTGCTCTAACAATGTACCTGGAACGGTATGTATTAATCTCCCGCTCGGGAAGGAGTCCCCGAACAAGTGGAAATCAGTCAGACGCAAGCGCTCAAGCCCATGATGCGGAACGTGGACGCCTGACCATGCAAGAGCCCGGTCAGACAGAATCGGGTAGGTCTGCAGCGCGTGGCCACCTACCCGATCTCGCTTGAATAAACTCGCAACTTGATCTCGCTCGCTATAAACTGTGAAATAGCGTCTCTATGACTGGATAACCGCAAAACGTTGGTAATCGAGCGGGTATCAACGAGCAAGAAAATCGTTGATTTGATCTGATTTGATTTAGAGTTTTACAAGAGATTCAGGGCCCGGACTAGATTCGGGCTCTGAAACTCGTGTAAATTCTATAATTGAATCATACAAAATCTCAAACCGGACAAATCTTTTACATAAATACAATTTTTATCATCTTAATCGCCTATTGGTGAATGAGCTGCTCATTTACTTAATGGCCACCTTATCGCAGAAACGAGTAATTTCTCACAACTCATAGTCAAGCGAAATAGGGTAGGTGACCGGGCGTTGTAGCCTGCAGGATTTCGCCTGATCGGGTTTTGCACGGCCAGGGTTCCACCTTCGCGCATCATGGGCGTGGGCGCTTGCGTTCGACTGGATTACGACCTGTTTTTGAACACCTACTCAGACAATCGCCGGGGGCAGGCGGGCACCGGAAAAATAGATGGCTGATTTCTCGCACCCCGCTCGCGGATTTTTTGGAGAGCAATCAGAATTTTTCGGAACACCGCTTGCTGAGTTCTCGATTCCTCAGAGATTCAGCAATATATCTGCAAAAGATAAGAGCGAAAAAAGACTCAACAGGCGGTCTTTGAAAAATCCGCTGACCATTCTCCTGAAATTTGCGAACGGAATGTGAGATTTCAGCAACGCGTATTTTCCGGTGCCCGCCTGCCCCCAGCGATTGTCTGAGTAACAGTACAATTGATACATACCGCCCCGGGTCCGAATTGTCAATTTATGTTTTGTTCAGCGATGTTTACTTTTATGCTCATTTGTTTATCACAGCGTTCAAGTAAGCTTAAAAATACGACGAAGATTAGTGGTTTCTGTGTGTAGCTTCTTTTTTTGTTAATTAACATGTGATGAAAGTTGCTTTAGTGAATTTTATGCCATTAACTGCCCATATCCATCATCATTGCTCGAAGCTTTTCTTAGAACAAAGTTGAAAATTGAGAAACAGTAGTAAATGAAATCGCTCAACAACAACAAAATCGTCAATTCCAATCATGAACTCTTCCTTATACAAGAAATAGCGGGTGACGACAAGAAAAAAAAAGAAAACATGTGCAAGCTGGTTTGAAGGCGGCGTTCGCAGCGCTCTGTCGCAACCTGCTCCAGTTCAAATTCGAATCCATCGACTGTGCAACTAGGGGTGAGGACCACTATAAAAGTATCATAATGTGTGTTTATCTAATAGTTTCTATTAGATAAACAAGATTGGGCCAGGATGGCACCTCCCAGAGGTTTTATGTGCAAGTTTTCTCAGTTTCGAAATTTTGACAAACGGTTTTTAGAGCGATATCATACTGCTCTGCTCTGACATTATATCACATCTTAGCAGGTTTATAGTGCAAGACCACTAGGTTTACATTGATTTGAGTCCATAACCCTTTTGGGACGACTGATTGTTTATGACCTGCAATCAATGCTTCTTCCAAACGACTTATCACAATGTCGGCTTCTTATGGCCATACTTGGCCCAATTTTTGCCGTAATTATCAACCTGGACTAATAAACGATAGCTTCATCAAATTATGTGTAACGAAAGCAGAGTCACTGCGCCCTCAATTTGCGAGCGCGACATTTTGTGGGGTATATATCGCTGAGATTTTTCGGCATCGTAGCTTTAGGCTGCGTTCATACTGATCCGGATGTTCGAGAACAGTTCCAGCACAGCGCTCAGTTAGAGCGCTGTGCTGGAACTGTTCCCGTACTTTCGAATCAGTATGAACGCAGCCTTAGCGAAGATGGCTTGGGGCTATATGACACTTCAAGGCATGCTAATATTCGTATTGTTGTTTTAAGGACACTTTGCGATGCTCGTTTATATGGCAGAAACACCTTCCAGAACATTGCGAGATATAGCATTCAATTCTCGAGGTCTAAACTTTTTGAAACATCTCTCAATAACTTCAAGAATGACGTAGCCTTGACAAATGCAATGCGCACAATGATGGTTTTCTCAACTGCTTTACATTTAAGTTTGAGCTTAGAGAATGAAATTATTCAAAAACCGCGTTTTCATATGTCGAGATTGAAGCCGCATAAATTTCTCTACAATGCGTTTTCTGCAGTTTCGGTGGTATCCTCAGAAACTGGAAAACTTCCTCTGCAGATCCATATATAGCAACCCCTATCATCTCTTTCGCACTTTCTCAAAATATGACAGCAACATCAAAAGCGCAATAAGCAAAAAACTTCAAATGACCTAATACATTCTGAAAATATTGTTCCAGAAAACAACACTACGATTCTGAGATCAAGCCAATGGAAACGTTGTCCGTTCTTAAGACACATATAGTGCCTTTGAAGATTTCGGAACTTCGCGTTGCAAATTGTAGGCATGTTTCACTTCACGTTTACACTGCACTACCAATCACAGGACTTGCTGAACTCCTTTGAATTTTGGGCAGTTTGGAACGCATGCTTCAAAAGGTGTGAGACAATTTCGACGTCAATCAAATGTCTGTCACGGTGCATGCGTTCAGCAAACGTCGGAAAACCTGGAAGACCAGAACAGGTTTTTTGATACCTGACAGCACTGTGTTGTTTTGTAGATATTTTATAAGCTACACGTTAGATTTCATGTGTCTATGTTGCTTCATACGGTTTCAGCTAAAGAAACTGAACTTAAACTCTTTTGAAACATCCTGTTTGTTTGATTTTCATGTGACACAAACGTCTAACAGCTTATTTGATCTTCATGTACGAAAGGCATGCCGGGCATATATTGGGTTTCAGCGATCAATTTCTTCTCAAGCACACAGATAGATCAACTGCTAGCGCGTAGCGGGCATTTACAAACGGCTGGCCGTTGCCTACCGGGCCTAATATACACTTGGCGGCAGCTCGCGCATGGATGACTGGTGGTCACAGCACCTACTCAGACATTCGCGGTTGACGACCGCCGGTGAAAGGGAGTTCGACTCATTGAAAACATGCGGTACACATCCGATTGTTTCGGGACAATCCGGCTATTGGTTCGGGACAAGACTGCTGGAGAAACGCCGGTCGAACAGGTTTCACCTGCGTTTGGTTCGGGATTTGCCTGCAGCACATGTTCGGTTCGAACGCAGGTGAAACGCCGGTGAAATGCAGGAGTCCCGAACCGACCATGGGGCATGGAATTAGCCGTAGAGCGAACTTGATATTGTTCAAATTTCCGGCGTACACTGTATACTATGTAAACAACAAAGACTGAATCGACAGAGACTTATTCATCAACTCAACGACAAAACCATAACAAATGATAAGAAAACTCGTAACAACAAAATCGCAGCAGCAAAATTATATATTCCTGAGCAAAAAGAGAAAAATCTAGTGTCAAGAACAGAATCGCTTCCGAACAAACGGAGACAATATTTTGAACGGCAAAGAACAATTCGAAAAACAAAGTTCACTTGCATCATAGTAGAAAATATTGGGAAAGAGCAATAGTGTCATGAAGGCGTAAGGAATGCATTGAATTTCCATTCAATGAGTGAACACAACAGCGAGAATAAGCGATTGCTATGGACTGAACATCATGATATAAGTAGATAAAAGCAAGTTTTGTTACATTGTTTGTGACATGGATGATTGTGAGGCAACTTCATACTCTCAACAACAAAATCACAACAAGAAAATTACACATTCCTGAGCACAAGGTAGCATTCGATAAAGTAAAAAGACTAAAAGAAATGGCTAGAGTTTAGTGAAGAGATCTCTCTGTTATTCAAAGGTAAAAAAGGTATATACTTCACTTGAAAAGGGAAAAAATTTAAGCACCAGCACTTTCAACCATACTGGAAACAGTTGTGACAGCTGCGATGGCATTACCCAGAGAGGAAAGGATAGCGATAGCCGATAGGGATAACGCATAACGATAGATTTAGCGATAGCAACAACGCTAGCGCATCAAACCAGAGGTGATGATGAGAGGTAGAACCGGAGAGACAGCAATAACAAGAACCAAAGTAAGACCTGGATGATGATCTGCCATGCATGAGCCGGCTATCCTCACTGCATGCAGGAATGAAAATGAGTTTGATCGCGAATGATGGCGTCCCTCCGATACCTGTCGGCACTTGTCAAGCACTTCCGGTTAAACCCGAACGAGTCAGAAGGCCGATCGATTGTATTGATACGCGTCGGAACAATCCCGACGCAATTGCCGGTGAAGTCGGGACAACGGCAGGACACAACTTTGTCCCGAAACAAACCGAAAGTGGGCGGATCTCCGGCGGTCGTCAACCGCGAATGTCTGAGTACAAACTTCCCCGCACGATGTTCTGAGTTTTTACCGAGACTTCGGACCGCTGTACAGCTCAGTCATTCCAAATCGACTGAGGAGCGCCTACGCTTACGCTAGCCTCGGGGCATGCCAAGGTAGCGATTGATCTGGAACTGATCGCTTTGTAGACATGCGCGTTTTCAACGAAAGAATATCTTCGTTTGCATTGGCTTGACTGAGTGGATAAAAGTGGCGTTAGTCAAGTGGCAGGCTGCTTCGAGCGCTGCTAGCGACGCGATTTTTGCTTCTCGCCGGGCAATCTTTGATAGCGGTTGCTATTGAAAAACCTATGATCACCGCCATAGGGGGTTTCGCCTACCAAACGAACAAATAAAACAAAAGGAACAAAATCCGACAAGTGACATGGATTTCATAGAATGCGGCTGTCGAAAAATATGTAGAAAAGATGAACTCCAGTTACGTGCAGTTCTGAAAAATATTGATGTACTTTCTGCAAGAGGGAAAAATCATTTGATTCGATGGCCATTCATATTTTCTTTATCCGTAGGCTTCGAAAGTGTGTAGTTTTGTGCACTCTCGTTTTGAAAGTCGGCCTCTTTTGCGACATACTCAGATATCAGCAGCACGTAAGGTTAGAAGAATAGAACCACAACCTTTTTTACCTTAGTCAAAAAATTCAATTCTAGCGCAGACCTTTTTTGTGAAAGGCAAGGATAAGAAGAGAGAGAGAGAGGAAAGACTCTAAGAACGGATTTGAGCTCAAACAGCACCAACGTTGTTCATATTTTTCGCTCTAAACTAGCATGGCTCGAGTTTGTAAGCTCGTAGTAGGTCGAAATGCGCGGGCTAACTTCCGATGTTGTTGTACAGAAGGAGATCCGTACAGGCATCTTAGCAGGGTTGCTGAGCTGGACTAGATAACGCAATTTGTACGGCACATGTCTATAATGAGTTCAAGGTTATAAAAGCATTCAATGACAAAAGTTACATACAATTAAAAGGATACTAATAGGAATGCCGTGCAATCAAAGTGAATAAATTCCATACATACAAGCTTAAAGTTGAAATCCATTTTTATTATTTCTCAAACGTTTTTGAGTTAGAAAATTGGACGCAGAAGTGACAGTGAATTGGCGTAGAACTGCAATACACGGTACTTTGACCATCGAAATCGTTTGTCAAATATACTCATCTCAACATTGCTCTCTGCTAAGGAAACCCTAACTACTAATTTTAGTTTTGTGTGCCTTTTTTGCTCCAAAAAACTTTTTTATGACTTGACGTCCAGAGACGCTCGGCATATATTGATAACAAATAGAAACAGCGTTCAAGTTTCCAAAAGATGCTTAATAGAAAAGGCCACTTTGACAACGATAGAAGTTTTCGGTCTATGGAATATGAGGGCATGCATTTGACTTACATTATCCAGAGTCACAAACTTCCAATTTTCAGAAACTGCATCTTCACATCCTGGGCAATTTAGGAATGCTTGTTGGTTCTCGAGGGCAATCACTTGAATCTCTAAATTGATTGGTGAATTATATCGTACATTAATATCGTATATTATCATAATGATATCATATCGTGCAATATATTAATCGTCAATGTATCTGTTTCAACTGTTTACAAAGGGATTGAAGGTAAGCAAATTCTTACCTTCAGATGTATTGCAGCCCGTCAACAAATCTGTCAATATAAGCCATACAGGCATGCTGCAACAAAATCAAATAATAAGCATGTAGAATTATACGCGTACAAAATGCCCATATGATATCTTGTTCTTTAGTTGAAGGGATCATTGTGAACGCGCAGTAACATTGCACCAGATCACAGCGGGCTCGGAATAATAGGAATAAAAATTGACAAAGAAGAAATTTAGAGAAGAACGACGCAACAACTTAGTGACAGGAGGGTAGAGATCATTACTCCAAGGCAGTGTCCAGGCAGATCTGGATTTATGGGGATTTTACGTGGAAAGTAGTATTGGGGCCCTAAGTAGGGCACTGCCCAAGCGGCAGCGCAGATGAATCGCTAACGGCTGAGATATGCGCCTCCGAACTGGACCCCGTGATCGTATTCGCATGAATTCATGGCGGTTTCGCGCCACGATCCACGCTTTGCGCCATGAATCCATGCGGAATACGATCGCGGGGTTCAGTTTCGAGGGGAATATCTCAGCCGTTAGAGCATTACCTAGGCTGCCAGTTGGGCATTAGCTTAGTTAGGGCCCCAAAACTACTATCCACGCGAGATCTCCATGTGTCCAGACTTGCCTGAACGCTGCCTTTAAAGGCAGTACATCGGCAGAATGAGAACCGTGACAAAACAAGGTCACAGGGTAGGAGCCCCCATATGGAACCTATCGGCCAAAGTTCGATCTTTCTCTGCCTCTTCTAATCCACGGAATTTCAAAGCGAAAGCAGCGCTCATCTCCTCTTCTCTCCGGACCCGCCCACTACCGACTCCGGACGAGTGAACGCGAAGCCCGCCATGGCGAAGACGCAGAGTCGTTGCGGGACCTCATGCTTATAGCATTGCGGCAGGCGCTCTGACCGTGGAATTCACTCGTTCATGGGGTGGGCGGGTTTGGAGAGGACAGGAGATGAGCGCTGCTTCCGCGTTGGAATTTCGGGGGTTAGAAGTGGCAGGGAGAGATCGGACTTTGGCCGATAGGTTCCATATAGGGGCTCCTACCCTGTGACCTTGTTTTGTCACGGGTCTTATTCTGCCGATGTACTGCCTTTAACAACAAAGCGGATATGGGTATTGGGCTCCACAATGAAAAGACGACCGTCTCGTTGGGCTTCTTTCCGCCCCACGACTTTTCCATGGAAATTTCATCTTTATAAAGAAAAAACATCGCCGGTGGATATAGGAATCACCCAACGGAACGACTTACGCAGATCGACGATCACCAACGAAGGTGGAACTGCTCGATGTCTCAGTAGTTCCATCATTCTGCAGTGGCTCTGATCACTGCCTCTTTCGAGCGAAGGTACGATTCCGTCGGGAGCCGGAAAAGAAGGTATGCCACAGCACCGCAAGAAAAGAAGAAGCGTTGATGACGGAGGCTGGAAGAGCTCATATCAAGTTATGACTGATCCATCAAGGAAGATCAACGTAATTACGACTGGCTTTAAGGATTGCAGGGGCCTACAGAAAGTGAGCCTCACTCGCTTCCGAGAATAATTAAGGCCCGTATGCACGTACATCCCCGCTGGGGAGGGGAGGGGAGCTGGATCCCCAGGGGAACGATCCCCTCCGCCGAACCCCGCCATGACAGAGGGGAGGGGAGCGATCCCCTCCCCTGCACCTAAGCGGGGATGATGTGAATGGTTTCAGAGGTATTGATCGAGCGAACCCCAGTGCATACGGGGTTCGAATGGGGAAGGGGATCCCTTCCCTTCCCCCACTCGAACCCCGTATGCGCGAATTCAACTCAATATCGCGGGGGAGGGGATCGACATCCCCTGCAACGAAGTAGGGGTTCGATGGTGTAGATCATGCCAGAGACGCGGATATTCTGGTTCTGCTCAGTCATTACCAAGCATTTCGTTCATTTTGACGGAGGATTTTCTTTGAAAGCCGGGTTCTTCTCTCAGCGACCTGTGGCTTGCTTTGTCTTTCTTTTCTATATTCGCCTCTTGAGAAGGAATCCGAGCAATAATAGCAGCCAATTTCGGTTATTTGTAGGAGTTCTTGATCATTCAGAAAATTTGCGCATTTTTCATATAACATAATAGTTTTAACTATATAGGCTGAGTAAACACTTTGTAACTTTCATATTTCATGACATGTTGCCATTATCTTGTTATTTTAACATAAGCTGCCTCGAAAAAATCTAGAAAGTAGCACATTTGCCTATTTCTGAGTAGAAATCCCCTGAGGAGTGATCCCCTCCCCAGCGTTCCCCTTGTGCATAGCAGGGATGGCCGCTGGGGATCATTCCCCTGGGATAAAGGACGATATGCAGCTGATAGCTACAGCGTTTATGGAGAGCTGGCACGATTTGCAGCTTCTGTTATGTGTTAAAATACTGCTTTGAGCGTCCGCGCGGCACCCCCCCCCCTTTTCGGCGGCATAACGTCTTTTACCCATTCTCTTGCAGAGACACATCAACTTCTATAGTTCAATATTTTTACGCTGAAATGGGGCAGCATGAGCGAAAGTGGGCAGCATCCAAGAAAGCAGGAACATAATGGGAGTAGAAAAAATCATTTTTAGTGCCCCGAGCGCAGTCACTGCATACGCGCATTCCGCAACCCTAAATTATTGAAAGTGATGAGATGAAGATGAGTTGCAGTCAAGATATGAAATAAGAAAGAGTTTTTTATAGAAAATTTGAAAGCAAGGTGGTTTCCCCGCTTGATCCCCTCTTGTGCATAAGGGGGTTCACTTCCCCTCCCCACAGGGGATCCCTTGTCCGATATTGTCTTTGTGCATACGGGGGTTCGCGCGGGGAGGGGAGGGGATCCCCAGCGGGGATCATTTCAATGGTTAAACGCACATCCCCTCCCCGCGGGGATGTACGTGCATACGGGCCTAAGATTACAAAAGAACTACTCGAAAGAAGAAGATTGCGGCAAGTTTCGAATGTATCTCACCTCGAGCAACTGTTAGCCAACGCCAGTTGCAGAACAGCTTTGCAGAGGGGTCTCAGGAAGCCCAGCCAAGCCGAGATACTGGAATCAGCCAAAAAAATACGAAATCTTAAAGAGTGCCGATGGACCTCAAGTCACGTCTCGCTGACTGCACTATTGAACTAAGACGGGACCCCGACTTCTTCACGATAAAGATGGATTTTATGGAAAAGAAATTTTACGCCAGCCTTTACTCATCAACATCCAAGCCAATGCCCGTTGTTCCCTTGGAAAAGCACTACATGGATTTTGCCTGTCGCACAGCTCACCGCGATTTAGATTATGAAGCCAATCACGGCTCAGGAACCAACCATCTTTTCATTGAATTCTTGCGGGCCGAAGGACAACGTCTATATTAGATTTCGCATTGCATCTAACATCTTACCTTCAGAAGAAAAGCATTCTCGACCAATGGAGAATATCAAGAACCGTCTTCTCATCAAGAAGGGCGAACGGGAGAATCTTTAGAACTACCGTGCAATGTGCATACTGAGTGTGATGTACAAGCTTCATAAAGGTTATCCTCGCTCGCATATCGAGGGCACCGGTTGAAGCCAGCCCCAAGAACAAGCTGATTTTGCAAAGCATCCAGTTAATGACCATATCCAAACGGTTTCGAGCGTCACAGAATTATGAAGGACCGACTGTCTTTCGTTCTAAGCGTCGTTGACTACAGGGAGGTGTTTGACAAAGTCAAAACCAACGCCACCCTTCAGCGCTAATCGATCAAAGAGTGGACCCATTTTACGTGGAAATATCAGCCAGGTGCTACAAGGACCGTGCAACGACGATGCAGTCTTCCGTCGCCCTTGGCCATCCCACTGAGAAGGGGTTCCGACAAGGCTACACAATCTCACCGAAAATGCTCACCGCGACCTGCCAACGCGTGATGATGAAGTCAGTAGACTAGGCGAGAGACGCATACGAGTTGATGAGAGATTCCTGTCGGAACGTCATTTCGCGAAAGACGTTCAACGACGTTCGTTGAGCAATTTCACTGAGACAGAGACGATGATGAAGGAACTAAACGAAGTAGGGAAGAAGATAGCTCTGCGAATAAATTGAAAGAAGATCAGTTTATAAAGAACGCCCTTTGCGAAGATGCAGAAATAGAACTGGAAGGCACCCTCAACCACGGAGACGTATTTATATGTGTACCTTGGAGGTCCGATAAACATGGAGAACGACTTCTAAACGTAACATTGAAAAAGAGCAGCTTGGGCCATTTTGCTCCTCTGAAGGGAGCCACCGACCAGCTGAAGAAAACAGGCTTTGAGCCCTCTCGTTCGACTCAACCGCTCTCCCAGCGCTCTGTTACGCAGCTGACAAGGGAAGGATACTTGGTGACCGTAGCCATTCATAATGGTTGTAGTCAAAAAATGCGCGAAGTCTTCCATATCTGCGAAATAACCTGGATGAAGTTATAATTATTTTTTTCAAGAATGAATTGCATTATTGCGGAAGGTCAACATTATCAATGGAAATTTTTCTTTCTTTTCTAATTGCTGAAAATGGTTTGAGTAATCATAAGCAAAACAGTGCTCCATTTAGGATTTTCCTCAACAGCATCAAATGGTAAACTAGACCATATTTGGTGGTTTTGACTGTCCGGAAGATGCAAATTTTTAAAAAAATTATAACTTTCTCTAGAAGAATGTTCGCGGATATTGAGCACAGATATTTAGAATCAGGGTTTCGTGTGCGTCTTATGGTATACATCACATCTCAAATGGCCACGCTCCAGGTATCCTTTCCTTGTGAGACTTATGCCGACACCACAGTCTTTTGAAGATGACACGGCACAAACGACATCTTGTCGGACTTTGCAGCAGGGATATGAGAAGAATGTCCCGCCTTGGTGAAACAGCGGATTACGTTGCGAAAGCGAAGCATCGATGGGTCCGTCACTTCATGAAAAGCAGATTAACAGTCGCCGCAGAGCAACATCTTCGAGGAAGATCATCAAGAGGTGAGCAAACAAGTTTGTGGAAAGGATGCACCAACTGGGATAACAGCTGGATACGACCACTTACAAGTGAGAAAATCGTCGATGTCCGAAGCGAGGGAGAGG